CGAGTAATAGCCAGACGAGGGTGCATGAGGTCGTCTCAGCCGTGATCGTCGGGTCGATGTGAGTCTCGACCATGGCCTGAGGCAGAAAGACATGCTGTTCTTTGATGCCTGATTATGAGCCTTGTGGCCTAACCGCTAGCCGCCACAAGCGCCCAATGTTGCTTCCTTCAGCCGCCTGTCCGCCGCCCAAAGAGTAGAAGCGGCAGAAAGTCTGGAGATTCCCAGCATTAACTGCCACCACGCTGCTGACCTTGATTTTGTCTCTGCTTGTCAAGCACGCGGATTCCGCTCTCTCAGCTCAATCGATTGCGCTTCTTGCTTTTTAGAGGGCGCTTCCGTGACCTCTTTTTCGGGCGCAGTTAGTATCCCTCTGTCTGTTTGGACTCTTTTCATCTCCTTCAATTCCCGTCTGAGACTGACTTGTTTTATTGTCTCTATAGGGTAGCCCTGTCAAACCCATATCCCTCACTTTCCCTCAACTTCCGGTCCCGTCGCCATGAGTATGTTCTCTTTCGACTCCAACGCCTCCAGTGGCGCTTCCAAGGGTGGTCTTTTTGGGTCCGCCGGAGGCGCAAATTCTGGTGCTCCCAGCGGCGGTGGGCTCTTTGGCAACGTAGGAGCTACTACGACAAGCGGTTCATCTACACCTCTTTTCGGGAATGCTGGAGCTGCTGCTGCCAACAGTAACGCCTCCCCATTCAGTTTTGGCGCTGCGAGCAAGCCAGCAACCACGGGCCAGTCGACGCCCTTATTCGGTTCTAACGCTTCTGCCACCCCAAACAAAACAACCGAAACTCCCAGCTCGGGACAGACTGCTACCAGTGGACTTTTTGGTAACAACGCCTCCAAGCCTCTGTTTGGCAATGCCACAGCTACCCCGGCGCAACAGGGAGGAGGCATTTTCGGAAATGCTTCGTCCACTACGCCTGCTGGGCCCCCGCCTGCAACTACCGGTCAAGCGCCTTCTCTCTTCGGAGGAGCTCAGCAGGCACAAAAGCCCGCCAACTCTCTGTTTGGGGGATTGAACCCAACTCCCGCCGCCAATACCACCCCGGCTGCCACGAGCACCACTAGTTCGGCGACCACCGCGGCGCCCACCGCTCCTTCGTTGTTCGGTAACGCCAACGCTACACAGACGCAGTCGACTGGCGGCGGCCTTTTCGGGTCAAACCCGGCCCAAAAGCCATTGTTCAACGCAACCCCTTCGGCAACCACGGGCGGTGGTCTCTTTGGAAACGCGAACAAAGACAAGCCTGCCGAATCCACAACAACAACCCCCGCGACTACTACCAATGACAGTGCCCCGAAATCTCTCTTTGGCAATGCTGCGCCGGCGGGAGGTGCTGCCCCTGCTTTCAAGCCACTGAGCGGTGCTGATGCGACAAAGCCTGCCTTTCCCTCGCTAGGTACCCCGACTACCAGCATCACATCCTCCACCACACCCGCTGCTTCCTCTTCTACTCCTCAAAAATCACTATTCCCTACACTCGGCGGAGCGACTTCATCAGCCACCCCTTCCAGCACTCCAGCTGCCCCTAGTGGCGGATTGTTTAACCTTGGCGGAGCTGCCGCGACGAGCACAACCACAACGACCCCAAGCACCACAGCTACTGCTGCCCCAACAACTACCCAGTCCACTGCCCCTGCTACCGGCGGGTTGTTCAGCAAGCCCGCTGCGACCCAACCATCCACTCAACCCGCTACCACACCTGCAGCTACCGCAACCGACAAGCCCGCGCCGTCGACTACCATGCCTGCAACAGGCGCCAGCGGCCTCGGCGCCTCCACGGCCGGCCCCACCCCTCCCGCCCAGTCCCGCCTAAAGAACAAGACTATGGATGAGATTATCACTCGCTGGGCTACCGACCTCACAAAGTACCAGAAGGACTTTCGCGAGCAAGCCGAGAAAGTTGCCGAATGGGACCGCATGCTCGTCGAGAATGGCACCAAGGTCCAGAAGCTTTATGGTAGCACCGTGGATGCCGAACGAGCCACACAAGAAGTGGAACGCCAGCTCTCATCCGTCGAGGGACAGCAGGACGAACTGAGCTCATGGCTCGACCGGTACGAGCGTGAGGTCGATGAGATGATGTCCAAGCAGCTCAATCCTGGTGAATCTCTCCAAGGACCGGATCAAGAGCGTGAGCGAACGTAAGTTGCCTTCTTCCATCCATCTTTGTCCAGCCACTGATCAAAAACAACTATAGTTATAAGACTGCTGAGCGACTCTCCGAGCGCCTTGATGAGATGGGCAAGGATCTTACCAGCATGATTGAAGAAGTCAACAATGCCTCTGCTACTCTGAGCAAGACAAGCAAGGCTGATGAGCCGGTGCGTATTCACTCTGTACTCTGTTGTAACACTTCTTGCCTGATACTAATCCACAAAATTAACAGATTTCTCAAATCGTCCGCATTCTCAACTCCCACCTTGCGCAACTTCAAACGATTGACCATGGCACCACCGAGCTCCACGAGAAGGTCGCCAAGGCGCAGCGGGCGGGTCAGTCGCTGTCTTCGCGATTCGGATACGGAGGACTGGGTAACTCGACGATGGGCGGTAGCGCAGCGGATGATTTCTATCGGTCTTACATGGGACGGCGCTAAACATAATGCAGTGGAGTTTTGATTTCATACTGGTGGGGGCTTCTTCACGTTTGCGCTAGGCTTTTACTCTGCAGTTTTGTATCCACTGAGAAATGCTTTTATCGGAGTACTCGTTTTGCACTTGCGATTGTGGTTGCGTCGGATTTGTCATGGGATGGGATGGGTAATGAAGAATAATAAAGTATCATTCTACCTAGAAGCCACTTCGTATGACTTGTACGGCGGTATATGTAGAGGTCAATTGAGTGGATAGTCCATGCGTTCTTGAACGTAACCGTGGGTCCGTAAGTATAACAATGATAGATCTACACATGGAACACAGCGAAGAATCGAATACTTGCGTATAGTAAACGTCTCAGCATAGACTAACTAGCTGCACCGTATGCTAATATCAAAAAGCATGCAGGTCACATCAACATACAAGTCATATTCATCAAATATCGCTCCGATTACGAAGCAAGGACACAGAGAGGGGGGTGACACATTCGCGGGGATATAGTAGGCGCGAAGAAACAAAATGAGGAAACAAGAGGCTTATGTAGTAGACCCAGCTGACAAGTCACCTTCGAAAGATATAGAGGATGTTGAGTATTGGGGAGTGTGCACGTAAATTCTAGTTCTGCTCGCCGCCCTGCTCCTTGGTGATCTCGTCGCTATAAAGTGAACAATCGAGGTTAGGTAAGCTTGTTTTTAACGATATTTCTTGTCCAGGCGGAAGGGAAGAAGCCCTTACATGTGCTTGTCGAGCTTGTCAAGGTGATCACGCTGATCCTTGATGCTCGCTTTTAGCTTCTGGAGCCTGTTTTAGGAAGGTCGAAGTTAGTATTCGGGTAAAGAATTTTGGGTTGAGAACGGAATGGATTGGCTGATTGATGGACGTACTTCTCCAATTCCTTCTCGTGGATGTATCGGCCTTCCTGGGCGGCCTCACGCTTCTGGAATGAGTCACTGGGTTGGGATTTAGATTAGCCTTAGTCTTGCGAATTTGTAGTTTGGGGGAATGGAGGAGAAAGATGATGATGATGTCATTGTGAGCAGTGTTGTAAAGAGGATTGGGATGCTTGCGGTGGGTGGCATGGGATTGGCCTTGAGCGTACCTTGACTGAACACCGCCAGCGCGGGGAGCACCGGTATCACCTGCAGCCATTCTGGGGGCAAGAGCAGAGAAGGAGCGGCTGATAACAGTGCTGGTGAGAGGCTTGGTGATGGATTGGCGGAGCATGGTGATTGACTAAGTAGGTTGAGCGGGCGATGGTTGGGGATGTGAGGAGTGAGGAGGAGGTGAAAGGTGGAAGTTATCGGTTGGAAGAGGATGTGTCAGATAGTGATAGTGACAAGACAAGGTACATGGGACGATGCAGCGTGAGGCGAGCTCTGCTCAGGTACTTGTAGTACTTTGGGCTGGTGGTACTTTCGTACTGGATTACCTAACTTCCCACGGCTGTCAAGACCAATGACGACATTGAATGGGAAGTGGTTGGCACCGCACTGGCCGATCATGTGATGCGTCGGCCCCGGATGAGGAGATGGTCCGATGCCGCCGGCGGGTTCAACCCAGAGCAGGTGACTCAGCCATCGTCAGGTCGGGCCCGAGTAACTTGTGTTGCTGGTGGTCAGGTGAGCTGCCGCCTGCAAGCTCTAACGGGTCCCGCGTCATGACTGTGCTGCTGTTGTTGTGGTGGTGTTGGTTGTGGCTGAGAATGTTGAATGAAGATTGTCGCCATCTCCTCCTTGCCCACCTCCCCCTTTATGGTATCTCCACGCCAAATCTACAGATTCACGTCTACACGGACTCCTGGCCTAAATACCAATCATGTGGTACAATTGAGTCCCTGTCAACAGGCAACGGGCCAACAGTGATGATAAGCTTGACAAGGAGCCGCCGACCTGCCACTGCCAGCGATCCCTGAGGGATATTAATAGGATGAAAGATGGGATAGCTTCCCTCCAATAGTCGGGTCCATCAGTACTATTATTCCCCGAGGTTCCAGAAAAAGAGAAACGCAGACCCCCTTGAGCCCAGATCAATCAATATTTCCAACACATCGGTCACAGATTGCTGCTCTGCTACATGGCTGCTCCTCCATCTTCACCCTTTCCCCCCCTATTGTTTTCTTTTTTTTTTTTGGTACCCGCTTCATGAACTGTTATGTGTATCGTCGGCCCCCTTCGTGATGGCCTTGACTGGGGAGGTGAAAGAGTGGGCTGGACAATTGGCGGAAGTGAAATAGGGATGACGATGAGAGGCCCACCGAACCACTCAAGCGACCGACCTAAACCAGCCAGATTGGCAGGCAGGCAATCACCCACGCCATTAAGGATTCAGAACTCAGGAGAGACGTATCGTATCCCATGCGATTTTGTGCAGAAGATTGGGAGATGCTCTGAACGGAGTAAGTAGTCTGGGAGAATTTCGAGGATTCTTCTTGATTCTGTCCCAGTCTGGACCTCTGTTCAATGAGCGTCATGATACCATCCTGCTGTATGCACCTTCACCCAGTGCATTGGGCTTGATGTGCATGCACTACGTAGGCGCCAACCGACTAGCAACAGAGAGCTTCTGTCTGCTTCTGTCCGTCTCTATTCTGCTTTTACGCTGGCCTACTCTCCCAAACCCTGCGCAATCCCCAGCAAATCAATTCTAGAAATCCACCAGAAGGGGAGAAGATCTTATTATTGGCAGTAGTACTGTATTGACAGCAATAATATCCCGGCCCGCAGAACTCATAGCGGTAATATTGCGGTGTATTTCTCCATTTTGGATTTTTTTTTTGTCTGGGTAATAAGTTAATGAGGGGAAGGGGGTTGAAAATGGATACACCATCATCCACCTCCTATCTAGACTCTAGCCTAACCGTGCGATATCCATTGTCGCAACTGTAGGGGGGGAATAGAGTGGCTGAATTGTTCGTCTTTTAGGTACGGATGTACGGATGTAAAAAGGAGTAAGAGGCGTGCATGAGTTCCTTGAGTTAAGTTACCAGTTAGGCTGAAGAGGCTGAGGATCATGACGATGATGACAATAATGATGCGATGTACGGGAATACTTGTCTAGGCTTGGGGAGGGGGGGGGAGAGATTTCCTGGCCACAGAATGAGAAAGGGAGGGTAGGAGGAGCAATAGAGGTGAGTAATTGAGTAAATGAGTGCGTGACTGAGCGAGTGACTGGACTTTCTTTTGTCTGTCTGTCTGTCTGTCTGTCTATCTGTCGGTGTCTGTTCAGTCTGGCTCCTCTTACGCCTTCGTTCCCCTCCCCCCTCCTCTGTCACTCTCCTTCCGGCCGCCATTAATTGCCTATTTCCCACCTGGACCAAACAGACCCCCCCCCTTCCCTTCACCCTCCCTCTCTTCCTCTCTTCTTCCCTTCTCATTCCCCTCCCCTCCCCCCGACACTAAGCCAACACCCGCCAACAAACTACTACTAAACCTCTCCCATCTTACTTCCTCCAACTTACTACTACTACTACCACTACCACCACTCTAAACCTGTCTCTCTCTCTCTTTCTCACTCTCCTCTTCTGACTAACTACTTCCAACCTATCTCACTTCTTCGTCTCCTCTCCAATCCGGTCAGTCAGCAGTCAATTCTCTTGATTTCTCCCTAATTTCCCCTCCCTCATCACCCAAACCTACCATTTCCCCCCTGCCCGCTTAGTGATCCAACTTGGCCTCTCCCCCTCCCCCAATCCTCAAATTTCGAAACAGAAAAACATCCCAAACGAGCAGTACAGCAAGGAATAAAAAAACCCCCCTGCTCTATAATCCTTCACTCGCGCCTATCTCACTCTACAACAACACCCACTGACTTTGCAGACAACAGAGCACCTACAATCCCTCTTCATCTTCCGTCCAGGTGAGTTGGTTCTCTCTCTGTTCCACTGCCGTCATCTTTTCCAGTCCTACCACCAAAACCCCCTCCCCCCCTCTCAAACTCCCCCTCTTCATCCCGGGTGATCCAGCCGCTCCGTCGTTTCCGGCGGCGTTCACGATCGCAAATGATCCAGACTTGTGGTATTGAAAGGTTCTGGAACACTGGAAATGAGACCCTAGTCAGCTCGCGCGTGAAATGGCTGGAACTACATGCAGTCGTCGCTCTCCCCTCCGTCTCAACTACACTGGAACGCGACACAGCACTTTTGTCACCGGCTAGCCGAACGGAGGCCTGGCAGAACAAACATACCCTCCCTCAATCGTCAACAAGCCTCTGGAATCGTCGCCGTACGTCCTGCTGGTGGTTGGATGGATGTGGGTGCGTGGTCGGGGGCGAAGAGTACAGCGGACAGGATCCGAGGAATGATCATACTTGCTTGATTCCACCTCCATATTCCTCACTCCCGACCATTTTACGTGCTTGTTGCGACGGGGCAATCTATTCCCTATCACGGGGAACGGTTCCAGGAAGCCGGGAAAAGGAGGGGAGGGGAGGGCGGTTATCGCTTTTCGTGTTCCTTGCACCACTTGACTTCACAGCCTCACTTTTGCCCTGTGACTGGCTGCCCCTCGCTTCGGAGACATTATCTATCGTCTTCCGTTGATCGCTGTGGCGCATCCCCCCATCATCCTTATTCCCTCCATCAATACCATTTTTGTCATCACATCGACTTTCCGCCAGGGGACTGTTTATTATCTGACTAACATATTCACCTTCTGTTTCACACAGATAATCCACTTTCACAATGGCCCGCGAAGATGCTGTTTACCTGGCCAAGCTCGCCGAGCAGGCTGAGCGCTACGAAGGTACGTCATCCCTGAACGATCCACCCCGTGCTCGCACGAATACCCTCATGCTCACCTTTTTCTCGCAGAGATGGTCGAGAACATGAAGGAGGTTGCCTCCACTGATGTAGAGCTCACCGTCGAGGAGCGCAATCTCCTCTCCGTCGCTTACAAGAACGTCATCGGTGCCCGTCGTGCGTCCTGGAGAATCGTCACTTCCATCGAGCAAAAAGAGGAGTCCAAGGGCAACGGTCCCCAGGTTACCCTTATCAAGGAGTACCGCCAGAAGATCGAGACCGAGCTCGCCAAGATTTGCGATGACATCCTTGAGGTTCTCGACAAGCACTTGATCCCCTCTGCCCAGAGCGGCGAGTCCAAGGTCTTCTACCACAAGATGTGCGTCTGTCTCTTAAATACCGTTTGAAGGCTGCATTACTGACCTGGACGGGTGATCTTCACAGGAAGGGTGACTACCACCGTTACCTTGCTGAGTTCGCCATTGGCGACCGCCGCAAGGGCGCTGCCGATGCCTCCCTCGAGGCCTACAAGAGCGCTACTGAGGTCGCTCAAACCGACTTGGCTCCTACTCACCCCATTCGTCTCGGTCTCGCCCTGAACTTCTCCGTCTTCTACTACGAGATCCTCAACTCCCCTGACCAGGCCTGCCACCTGGCCAAGCTTGCCTTCGATGATGCTATTGCCGGTATGTTTATCTAAAGGTCTCGTGCGAGCATGGCAAAGACTGACAAATCCCGGCAGAGCTTGACACCTTGAGTGAGGAGAGCTACAAGGACTCCACCCTGATCATGCAGCTTCTCAGAGACAACCTGGTACGTATACGGCTACATCCGGATTGACATGTCCGTACTAATGCACATCTAGACGCTCTGGACCTCGTCGGAGGCCGAGACGGCTGCTCCCGAGTCCAGCGCTCCTGCCGATAAGGAGGAGGCTGCTCCTGCCGAGGAGAAGCCCGCTGCCGAGTAAATTAGTAGAGATAACGATGGACTCGCGTCCGGGTTTGCAGATGAACTCGGACAAAATACGGCGTGGGTTACGGGTGCGCAAGGGCTGCGGGGGCAAGATTAGAAGAGGGGATCGGCGCTGCACGCTTGTCATTATGTCCGATGACTTTGCATGGTCTTGAACTGTCACTGGCAAAGGGCAGAAGTCAAAAAGCTGGTCTGCGCTATGGGGTGTTCTGTGCCTTTGCTTTCCGCTTTCCGTTCATGCGATCCTTGCTATGCTCTGCCACCCACCACATTGCCCATGTTTCCCCTCCGGGTTCACCTGTGGATCTTCGATTCCTGTTCTATTTTTTTCCTTTACATTTTCTCGTTGATTTCTTTATCTTTTTTTTCTACTTCCTTGCCTATTGCCGCAATTCCCCCTGGAAAGAATACCTCTCTCTTGTTACCTACCCACCCTCATACAACAACAAACACAATTGTCAAGAACGACCCTCTCGCGTGGGCATTGACCTCGGAATACCTTCGCAATCATGGCGCTTGCCATGGTTGGTTACATTTGTCTCCCGTATGGCGTTTGATCGTGCGCCTTAGCTGCGTTATATTAGATTTCATTTCCAGCCGACAGGCTTCAAGAAACAAGCTTGCAATTCGTGACTTCCGGGTGGGGGATGCTATAGTCAGGAACACGGGTGGCAGATAGAGAAATAAGCAGAGGTGTAAACATACCACATATGCGCTAATCTGGACAAGGATCTGGGCAGAGATACACAGGCAGGGCACGATGGGTCTGCGATTGGAAAGGGAGGTGCAATTAAACCCCAGTTGTTCTAAAAAGAGGTGGGAAGGACACCCCAGCACAACACTCTGCTATGTAATTCTCAGACTCCCATCACATGCACCCATCCTTGGTGAAACGAACTTCTGCATCTTCTGATTGAAACAACTGATGTGGCTGGTCCCCCTGTGACCGACACGTACCATTGAGGAGGGGTAGGGTAGATCGATTCGAGTTCTCTTTCTTCTTGCTTAGCTCAATAACAGAGGGACAGAGACCAGTTTTGTAGATAAAGTACTGACATGACAATTGCTCATCTTGGAATGCATGTACAGTACATGATGTGCCACTATCTGAGATTGTATAGGAACAGATCGTATTAACCACACACATTTGGCTGGGTCCTCTGCACGCGGTCTCACTTATCTAGTCGTCTTATTCAATTAGACACAAAACCCGTGTGTCATTCGCCACATAACCCCCTCAAGGATACAGAGTAGAGCTCCAAGAATTCTATCTACCGGTAAATCCTCTCTCAGCCTTCCCTGCCAACCTTGTACAGTACTTGTATGAGTAGGATTGCTTTGTGTAGTTATGAAGCACAGAGTACACTGTACCGAGCATCACAAGCGCAGCGGGATATGATTGACAAGTTCCTGTTTCTCGCACTATCCATGAAGACTGTATAATGCACACCAGTCCACTCATACCCCTGCCCATCCAAAACTCTCCCCCCGCTTCTCCTACATCATATTCTCTTTTCTTCCAGCATTTACTTTTCTTGTTTAATCATCTGTGGCAAAGGGGGGCCTTTCTCAAACTCTTAAGATTTTCAGCATGTTTATTACTAGAGAAGAATAACGAATCGCCACCTCCAATGATAATCCGAGCAAAGGGAAAATAACCCCCGAACAGCTAAGGCACGAGGTACTGTACTGTAAGTTAGTGTACACACACACAGCCCCCCCTTTCCCCCGGGCGCTTCAGCCTCAGCCTTCAACCTTCCACCCCCAGCCCTCAACCTCAACCCCAGCCCCGGTTCCTTCCACCCCTCCCCCCCGCCCCCCTAAACGCAACGGGCGGCGAGCGGCAAGTCAACCAACAAAACGCAGATGGGAGGGTTATGAATGACGTACGCGGCTTGCAGATTTACGGGAAGATCTTAATATAATTCTTCTTTATTTTTTTTTTTTTTGGTCTGGGGATTTTTAATTTCACGCAGTTATTTTTCCTTGGACGATTTCTCTGGCTATAGCACTACTAACTCTAAATCTGTAGTACGCAGGCTGAACATTGATGATAGTTGGGTTTGGGACTCGGTGTGTGGTGTGATGAGCATGTAAGTTATACTCTGCTGTATGAAGTAAACTAACTACTTTAACTATCATAATACATTGTAAGGGCGGAGGGTAGCATCTTTGGAAACGTAGATGATGTGTTTGGGTGTCGGGTACTGTTGCTGCTGCTGTCATACGTACAGTCGACTCGCACGCGTTGCGCTGCACCGATTGGTATTATTATGTACAGTACTGTAGTTGGATCGAGAGGAAGGTGTACAATACGTCAACGTCAAATTGCTGATCGAATGACGTTTTCCTTCCAACCCTCTAGCTAGTCAAAGACCAAAGTGAGAACCTCCCGATCCATCGGTTACGGTTTCGACAATAGGAAAGCGCACGGGCAGTCAATTGTTACTCATACTCATTCTCTCCCAGTCGGTTAATCGGCTGTCGGGGAGAAACAAACCACGGGGGCAAAGGATAAGGGCACAGCGCACAGGGAACTAAAAAGATGTGACTCCGCAGATACAGCATGTCCTTAATATATGTACTGTATGTACGTGGGGTCATCGATTTATGCAGAGTGATGCCACCGGGGGTGGGGTTGATGAAGACACCTACAGAAAGTGACGACGGGAGGTCTCGTGTTGATGTTTCATCCCTATAGCAACTTCCGTTCTATAGCAAAACTTATCGCCGTAAGGTATGTACTAACCCACGCCTTCTGAGACAATGACAATCTGGTATGTGTTTTCAGCTCGATGCGCAACCCCCACATCGGACAGATACTACAGCTACGCGAAACACCCATGTATCAAATTTCTTTTTCATTTCAAATGTATCAACAACCGCTCGCTTCTGGGTATGGTAAGCAAATGTCTTCAGTGCCAAATGAGAACAATCAAACAAAAAGAAAAGCCGCAATTTCCGAATCGTCAGACCGGGACGATTCCAATGTACACGAGTATAAAGGGGGAAAGGCGTTGAGAGCGGTGGCAAGGCTGTTCGAGATAAGTGTGGAGGAGGCGGAGGAGAATGGTGTTAGGTCGGATGACGTGGACCCACGATGGATGGTGATTTGTGACTTGGCGAGAATAGTGTTGGTTGGTGGATCTTGATGATGTTGATGCAAAACCACATGAAGATATTGGCTGCTCCGTGAAAATGCTTTCCCGCCTTTTTGCAGACCATGAGAACAAATGCGCCCAGTGCGGTTCCGTGTTTGAAAAAGAGATGAAATGATGGAAAAAAACAAAAACAAGCAAGTCTAATTATCAATCCCAGTCAAAGTCCCAACGCCACGCGTGCTATGCCAATACACAAGGCCTCCGGTATGATAAGACAAGTAGGAAAAGAAGAGGAATAAGACGAAGGCATGGAAAAAGAAAAGAAAAAGACAAAGAAAAAGAAAAGAAAAAAGTATGAACAGTAGAAGGTAAATAGATCCGGGGGTTGGCTATCATCGGCTCTGACAGGCAGCATAACCAAATGTGCTACCATCACGGATCACGCGCTGGCATGGTTGCCAAGATTATAGGTGTCGATCGACGGAAAAGCTCCCATAGAAACAGATAAAAAGATATGCAATGATGTCACAATCGTTCTTCGGAACGTGCGCAATGCGAATTGACGTGTGGGTCGACGACATGCTGGGTGGCACGGCAGATTAGGTCGGCCGAAGTCGTGAGATTGTCATCGTGATCGCCACCCCCAAAGTCATATCGATTTCGTAAAAACGGGTGATCCAAGGACGTCTGTTTCGCGAGCCTTCGGTCGAATATGGCGACCGCCCTGGGTAGCACGAGGTTCCACCTGACAAAGCCGCAGATGTCATTCCAGATCCCGAGTTCAAAGAGCCGGCCTGCTCGTGAAAGTTGATCGACTGGCGGATTGCGGAGGGCGCGCTTGGGCCAACAGCCACCATTCTCGACTATGCCAGGCACGCAGGGACCGGTCGGGAATGTGGCTGAACGGAAACCAAGAATTCATCGGCGGTGATGGCGAGAAATAAGGAGAAAAAGGGGGTCATCGCATGGCAGGTGTGAAGTTTCGTGGCTTTGAACGAGCGCTCGCCATCCGTCTCGTGGCAGCAACCAGGCCCCGACCGTTACCCGTCCTAAACAGCCAGGGTCGATAACAGGGATCTTGTGGTTATTTCTGCGCCTTTCTGACTTTGGTGCTCGTCCGTCCCATTTCCGTCTTGGTCATGTTTCGGGTCAATCCACCAATATAATCCTGAAGGAACTTGTTTTCGCTCTCCAGCTTATCATGATCGGATTTCACGGCTTCGATGCGTTCTGCTAGCGCTTGAAGTGAGGATTGAAGGGCTCTGGCTTGTCTGTTCGTAGATTGCGAGATTCCATTAGCTTCTTCCTTGTTTTCTTTTCCCACCCTTTCTGCGTGGTCGTAGTCGCGCCCATGCTATGTGACGGATATATTGATGGATGGTGCCCAAAACTCACTCCTGTAATGTTTGCCTGGCCTCCTTGCCCAGTCGCTCCAGATCTGCGGAATTTCGGCGGGGACTCATGGCGCGCGCGTCGTCGGGGGGGAATTCTTCTTCTTCAATCTCGATTTCGGGGTGATCTCGTGGTACAAGGATGGACGCACTCGGTTTTCGACTGGCCATGCGAGGGCGTTCGGATCGTCCTCTTCGTTCGGTTTCGACGTCAGAGATGGATGAGGATGAGGAGAGTGAGGACATATGCGAGCGACCGTTGTCGTGGGGATGTGGCAGGGTTGGGACAGGCGAGGAACCGTGCATGTCTGACGTCGACGCCATGGTTTGTGCTGTGCTGGCGGTGGCGCCGGTGGTTGGATTTAAGGATTCCGGTGGTTGAGGGTGGCTTGAGCAATGCAATCAGAGCAACTCTCGGGCGGTCGCTGTGGCGGGTTTCCAGGTTTCCCGGTCGTTCAAGGTTCGGTAGAAATCCCACAACAGGATATGGTCAACAATCGAATTCCTTCTATTCTCACAGTAGGCCGTGACTACCTCTAGCGATGACCTCAGATTTGAAAGATCTGCGTTTCGCTGGAGGTAGCTGTCGTTGAAGCAAACGGGGGGTGTTTCCCAGGCCGGCAGACGAGGATTTAGCCGGAAAAAGCAATCCAGGACAACGAAAGCAGACAATCAGCTGTAACGAGATCCGGGTTCACCACGTCTGAGCAGGGCGGCGAGTTCAGGGAATCGATTAGAATAAAACCCTAACTGGAATCGTATAGACTCTGGCTGATTTGTACCAGGAGAATTGAAGCGCAGGGGGGTGGTGGAAAAAGGGGAGGGCCTCCCAAAATAGTGAGGGTCAAAAAAGGGAGGACCGAAAGGACAGACGTATCGGTTAAGCGAACTTAGAAAGATAGCCGGTACAGTTGCTGGGTAGGTCGGTGGTAGTAATAGAAAAAGTAGAAGAAGAATCAACAATAGCAAGCAATTCAACAACGCAGGTTATGTGTCCCTGGAGAATAATTGCTATCGCCAATGTTCCTTTTTCGGGCGAAGGGTCTATTTGAATTAGGGAATTAGATTTATTCGCGGTCGTCGAACTTGAGTGGGAGAAAGTTCGTTGGGCAGTCCGAAAACGGGCGGACTAAAATCTTGGACCGGGGAGGGGGGGGGGGGTGTTAAAAGTGGTCAGTGGAAATGGGTGGAGAGGTAGAATTGGTGGTCGAAGCGGGTTTGTGGTAGTGTGGTTGAAGCCGTTAAGGAACAGAAGTTTTGTCACCGTCGCAATTCCGTTCGCTCGAAAAGGGGAGGGAGGAAGAATGGATGGATGTGCGAGGGGAAAAGGAAGAGGGGGGAAAGAGGAGAAAAGAAGAAGAGAGGAGAGAGGGAGAGAGAGAGAGAGAGAGGGAAGAGAAGAAAGAGAAAAGGGAAGGGGAGAGAGAGAGAACAATAAGAGCTCTCTGTCTCTGTGTTGGTTGGTAGTAATAGTGGAGGAGGAGGAGCAAGAGGAGTAATAGTCTTAAAAAAATTGGGGACACTGGACGAAGCTGCTGCGAGAGTCGCTGTAGGAAGAGTTCGTCGCAATAATAATGATGGTTCCAGTGGATGTTTGGCGGGCAGAGCGCGGGTGTCGAGGTGAGTGGGAAATAATAATGGCGGTAGTAATGGGAGAGAATGGTAAGTGATAATCAATTGACCCAGGGACAGATACTTTTACTCATATAATTTCATTCGGCCGTAGTCACCAGAATCAAGTTAAGTTAGTAAGGGAAGTACAGTAATGAATGATACCAGAAAGAAAAAAAAAGCCGGTTAATGACTCGGTAATAAACCAGATGGAGACTAATATTACCAGATTTGTACCAATTGGGAAAGGAAAGAAGGAGGAGGGAGAGGGGGAGGGGAGGGAGAGGAAAGGATGTGAGAGGAGATAATCCTGCGATGACCTACCAACTACACGCGGGATACTATACTTGTCCACTTTTACTCAAGAGGAATACTTCCGATGACCAAAGCCGCTTACTCACTTTCCCTAGAGCGCATACTATTTCCTCGTCATCAAACTATGTGTAGTGTACCATATAGTTAACCTCGGATCTGATTTATAAATAAAGAGGCGAAAAACGCCCTGAAAAAAAAAAAAAAAAAAAAAAACAGAAACAACAAGAAAGGGAAATAGAGAAGCTGAAGATAGAGAAAGTACAGTACTGAGGACGGACACAGCCCAGTAGAGACCACACTACCTACGTATGCGATGGAGCAAGTGAGTAAGTCACATAATCCATCTAGTACATATTTGGTGTACTTTTGGGCAGAAAACAGTGCCAAATTCGGTATAGGAGGTACAAACAGAGTACGGAGTGGTACCCCGGTGGATGCTACTTGTCCATTTTCGGGGCTAGTGCCAGCGCACTAAAGGTGGGAAGACTCGTGGCCGCCACTGGAATGATATTCGCCGTATTCCTGGGTACCGGAATATTCAGAAAAGAGATTGAGATATGACCAAAAGAGAAGGAAAATATTAGATAAACATCCTCCAAAAAATGAAAAGGGAAATAATATACAATATTATACAGAGCAAGCAGCTGAACCGGCAGTTTGGTCAAGTAAGGTACCCTATCGACAAGGAAAGAAAATCTTCCTACGCGCTAATCATTCAAGATGATGATGACTATGATGTGAACTTCAGTCGTTTCTTTTTCTTTCTTTCTTTTTTCTTGATTTTGTCCCATTTCCCCCCCTCCTCCCAACAACACAGCAGCAGCAGCAGCAGCAGCAGCAACAGCAAGCAGCAGAGCAGCAGAGCACTGACTGTTGAATGTTTCGGTGAAGGAGCTCCGTTCGGCCTGCCTTCCTGTGGTTGGTGGGCGGGCGGAAGAGGGGAGGGGGAACCACTACTTACAGGTTTTCCACGGCTCTTTAGGGGTTCGTCCGGTGCCTCTAGTTCGGTTAGTGACTTTCAGGCCCAGGATTTCAAGCCCCTTGGTTCGACGACTCTTTCTCCTTAGCAGCGAACCCAAATCCCCCTAAAGGGGGGCAAAAAAAAAGCCAACCCGCCCAACGAGAAGAAAGTTGTGGTCCATCGGAGGAATGGCGATGATCCTCATCTGTTTCCCACCGCTTCCCACACCTTTTCTCAGTGCCACACCACACTCAAAACTGTCGTCTGTGTGTGCCGGTGCCGAGAAAGGCGGAGAACGGGCACCATGAGGATGGGTTTGATATGGCGGATGATGATCGATGGCGATAAATGATGTCGAAGCGTGACATTTTTTTCTCCTTTGTCGTCGTGCCAGTTCACGGACAGCCGCCGCCCCCTTTGGCTCCAGTTGTTCCTTCGCCACGGGTTCACTGATCACAATCGGCTTGATTGACGACACAAAAACAAAACCCACGAACCACAACCATCATTTCTACAGTAATTACTGAGTAGTCAGGGTCATAGCAATCCTCCATGCTACATCTACTAAACGGGTATCCTTTCTCCCCTCCCCCCCCCAATGCCCAGCGAGTAAGAGCAGGCGCGCTCGCGCGCGCCTCCCCCTGTCGACTGCCGAGGCGGCGGCGGATCATTAAGCCACGCAGGGCAGAGCCAGCCTACCGTAGGTGGCTAATTCCCCCCTAAGTATGGGGCAACAGTTGTTTGTAGTCAACGGTTGTCAGTCGGTCCTAGTCCAAAACGTCTTTTTCGTTTCTGAAGTCCTTCAGGGGAGGTCATGCAATGTCGATCGAGCCCATCAGATTGTGGCTTCTTGGTTTGGTCCCCAGCGAGACACAACCTGGTAAACATGGGGATCCTCAGGGCCATACTTAGGACCTAAAAACTACCCTAGTCCCATGCCTTATGGCCCCTCCGCCGGGATACTGGGTGTAGGTAGAAGGGTAGATGGGTGGGCAATCACCCAGCAATATCAATCAGTCCGTGACTGATTTCAGCAACGAAGCTGTTACTATTTCTGCTTTGACGACGATGGAGCTAGCGATGGCAACCAAACTGCGCCCTTTGACGGTGCAACAATCCATTGTCTTCCTAGTAGGGTGTCCAGTTGGGTCGAAAACCGCGATTCCACCAGATGGTCAAGTCTCAGATTAGCACGGAGTACTCAATACAATACTACATACACCCTATGTAATCTACACAGTACACGATACTATCCACACAGAGCGAAAAGACACACACCCTTGATGTGCGAGAAAATCCCAGACTGCCAGTGATCGATTGGCGGCGGAGTTTACTCCCTCTAGCTAAAACTCCACCAGCAGCATCAACGGCTGGGGCAGGACGATCCATTCCCGCGGGTTCGACATCTTCTGACGGATCATGGCCGGGAACAGCCAACGAGTGAGGAGGCAGCGTTGAAAATTGGGCAAGGATTTGCAAGCCGCCGATCCAAGAACCACCCGGGAACATGTGTCTCTTCGGGGGGGATCGAATCACAGAGTTGCTCAAGTGACGAAATTGGTCCCCTAATTAGTTGTGAATTGTGATCCCCCTGAGAAGTATGGGGTAAGATAGCGAGTTAGTACATATGCAGTAGATAGGATCGATAGATAGGAAGATACAGCGCATCGACTGCTGCTCTGGATTCATAGGGTGGATGTTGTTTGAAACAAGGATGCCAACAACGGTCATCACGAAGTCGATTTTCCTTGTCTGTGCTGTGCACATGGGTAGATACAGTAGACTGGAGGAAAGAGCCTTTCTCAGTGGTTGCACAGTACGTGACCCATATTAGTGGGATTCTAACATTGATAGCAATCCACGCCCGACCATGGGAAACGTCTCAAGAGAAAAATTCAACACTGAACAAACTCCCTTCGGTTGCGCGCCTGTCTTTTTCCAAACAACTTCTCACTTGGTTCCCTTTTTGGCCCTTGCGGCGCTGACCGTCGGCCACCGTGGTTCAATGCTCGGGAGAAACCCAGAATGAATGAAAAGTATCGCCGCCCGGTGATGACGGGTGAGCACGTCATGGGAAGTCTTCTTATTGGACCTGTCTCTTGTCACGACCTTTTTTTCCGCCCTTTCTAAATCACAAATCGAACAGTTCTTTCGGTTGGGCCTGATGGTACTTTTGTTTTTCTTTCTTTTCATTCCTACTGGCTCCAATTCAGGAAGAACTGGGCCAAAGTACGCGAGGGAGGAGAGGGGGGAATCCCAGAAACAAAGGATTTACTTTAGTTGAGGCTGTCAAATATCTCCGACCGACTCCATTCCATCTACTCCGTACCTAACTCATACATAATCAGTAGCCTTCCTATCCATTTATCTGGTGGAGGACTGAAACCGATCAACATCACTGGGCGGAGTCATATTAGTAGGGACTCGGGAGGGGAGGGAGGGGCGTTTAGGAGGAGGGGAAATTGGTTTTATGATTATAATCTATCGATACTTAAATCCTTCAGCACCTACAGAGTACTATGTAGCAGATCGCATCTCTCAGCCCTTTCGACCGCTAGTACTATCGTGGCAAATTTGCAGCAAGGCGCTGCAGCAAGTTAACTGGTTTAGTTGCACATACAGACATACATGAGCCCCAACGACGCCCGGAACGTTCCCCGGCGGCTACTTTAGTGCACCCTTTTTTTTTAATTTTTCTTTTTGACTTTTTTTTCTCATTAAATGTTGTTATTATTCCACGGGGTTGGTGAATTCTCTTTGGTTGGTCTTCTGGTACAGTACACTAGATATACACACCGTCCACTCTTTTCGAAGGAACAGCAACGCGTCTTTTTTTTTGGTTCGATACAATAGTCTTGTCTATTCGGTTTTCTGCTCTCACGACACGAGCTCGACCTTGACTCCTGGTCGGACTGGAGTCCCGCAGAGGAATAACAACGATAACTAACACGAGAGAAAGCTCACAGGGATTCCAAATTACAGAAGTCAGGAAAAGTCCAAGGAACCGATGACTAGGAGATCTTGGCGGTTTGATCCTCGTTAAGGGCAATTGGCAGTACTACTACTAGTAGTAGTAAACCCGGGTCAATCAATGAGGTTGAAATTGAACACAGCAGACCAGCAACCCGCCGCCAGCCAGTGGCAGATGTTCCTTTACCCCCGCATCATTGCATGCAGTTGCGCGCGCGCTCTCTTTCTCTCTTTCTCTCACACACATCGTACTCTTAACTATGGAGCACTCTCTCTCCCCTGAGGGAAGCGATAATATGACTATGAGAGAGCCAAAGAGCCATAAAAAGATCATGGGACTGATAACTGCGCTTACAATCAATGCCCTATCATCTCTAATGAACTGCTACTTAGCCACACTATACCTGTCGTCCGATGCTCTGCGCGCGTGTGCGTATAGTGGATAGCATAGTGGATTAACTTGGTTCGGTATGTGACTTGACAGTGAAGAGCAATGGCTGTAGTAAGTCAAGTCATGTAGTACGTATAACTGGAAGTACATACATACAGTACCGTGCCATCTCTTCTACTTTCTCCACTTCTCGACATCAGGCGATGGGGAATGTCGATGGGGCTGTCTTACTGTCGCTCTTTGTCTCTGAATCTTTTAAGGACCCAAAGGAGAGACACAATGCTTATTTGACGATCGGCAGGCATGGAATCCGAATTCCTTCGCTTGCTGCTGCTTCTATGCTGCTACCTGCTGCTGTCTCAAATTGTGAAGAAAGATCACCAAGTCGATTGATTGCCATTCTCGATATTGTTCAGCCTCGTTTACCTAAAGGAATACATGAAACCGAGACAAGCGAGGAAATCCCGAGATGAGCGAAAAGGAAGGGAAGGATCCCAGAGGGGGTCTTCCGGTCGAGTTTACCATACCATACCAGCGTTCCCGTGATGTACTAAGTAAGGGTACACACAACTGACTGACCGCGTGACTGCTTCTTGCTCCACCAGTCCATTCCATCCTTCTCCGATGATGATGATGATGATGATGATGCTGTCACTGATGATGATGTTGATGGTGAAAATGATGGATTGTCCACGGTGCACCTGTTCCTTCGCAAGAAACCGAATGCAGTGCAGGAGAGTGGCTGCTTGCCTTACTTCAGCATGAGGCATTTGATACACCCTATCCACCGAATCCTTTCGCTATGATTCAGGAACAGTCAAGACAAGATAGCTTAGGTAGTTCCAGAACAGCATATCATACAGTACTTCAGGTCAAATGGTAAGTACCAGGCGAGTACCGGGATACACATGTCCCATCACCAGTTGAAACAGCGATGAAATCACCCGACAGCGAACGAACCTCACAACCACATCCCATCCTTCCCCCACCCCCCCCCTGGTCGCGCTGACCGTGATGACAAGCGAGCTAAAGTGCCTGTCCACGATGCTGCCCTCGTTTCCTACACTCCCTGGGCGAGTGACGATAAAGAACAGAACCGCCGATCTGCGATCGGGTAGTGGCTGAACTGCGATTCTCCGCTATTACCGCCAAGTGCGAGCAAGCCTTTCTTTTCTTTCGCTCAACCTTGACGATGACTAAGATAGGCCATCTTTTGGTGCTGACGGTCTCAGCAATTCATGATCAAATGTCACTTGATATTGGATGGACTCCTCCTATCAATAATCCTGATCGGCGCATAACTGTTGCCGCTTCCTCATTTTGATTTTCACACGGCACACGAGGCGGAGAAAAAAGGACAATTTTGGAGCCACTGTCATCATGTATCAAAGACTGTCAGTCATCGCAGTCGGTTCAGAAGGAGGGGCAATCAATACTACTGGGCTGTGGAAGAAAAGGATCAATCGTCCCTCCGTATCCATCACCTAGTGATTGGAACCCCCCTCCCATCAAGCTATCCACTATCCACCATCCACCACCTCGGCTGCTCCCCTCCTTTATTCTGAATTTCCACCCACCCCCCTGCTCTACCATTAGCATGCTAGATGGAGTCAGGTCGTGGTACGTATACACTTCTTGGCTATTGTTATTGCCTGGTAGGCTACCACGCCCTGACCGTGTCTTAGGTTGGTTACTGGTTCTCAGGTACAGTAAGCACATACCAACTCACCAAGCAAAAATCAGGTAAACTAGTCAAGAAGTTGGTGATAGATACTACTACGATACTAGCCAGGTACCAACCACCGCCCAGCAGTAGCACCCACCCATCTGGAGCTTGGGGGGTAATTTTCCCTGGCAGATATGCAGCATTTCCCAGTTCATAACCCGTTCACCGGTCTCACTGTCTACTTGCCCGTCCATCTATCGTTCCTGTCAATGTCAATGAATCCAAAGCGCATCTCCAAACCAACTAACTAGCCCACTTGGCAGCAGCAGCAGCAGCGGCAGCAACAAGGAAAACAACGAAAAAAAAAAAGTCAAGCTCAGGCACCACCCCTCATTTAATCAAATCTATCAATCAATCAATCACGGTGTCAAAAGATGGTCCCCAGTTCCGAACCCAGTATTTCTCCTTTCTCGAACTTTGATTTGCCAGATATCGGGGATTCAATATGAGAAAAAAAAATCAAAACTAAAACTAAACCACTTTTCACATATCCACTCGGACTAACAACAAATCCAATCCGATTCCCTCCCCTCCTCCCTTCCGAAAACCTGCATGGTGGCTTTCAGCCCAAACCGCAAGATGGAGAACCAGCAAGAAAGAAAGGAATTTGAGAAGTAACCCATTTTTTGAGTTCCTGATTCGTAGCTCAACCACACAGGCAGTTGTTACAAGGGTATATAAAATCCATGGCACTGCACTCTTTATATTGGGAGATCCTTGGTCTAATCAATATAGCTACGTAGGAGTATGGTAAACATTCGGAGGTTCGGAGTTATACCTCCCAACCATATTCGAGAAGACCTTGAAGGAAGGCTCAGAACTATTCATGTGTATTTCCATGCTCTACAAGTACATTAATATTAAAGTTATGAAGATATGAAATTTGATATTTCGCAAGTAAATCCGTCCCTCAGGGGAAAAGGATATCACTATCACAATATCTATAGATATTCATCAGCCATTATCCATCTATAGCATCTATAGCATCTATGGCTCCAATATCAACCAGTTACGTATCACGGAAGGAGCATGAACAAACAAACCTGAGGTTCTCATAAGTTAACTCCTGCTCCCAGCACCCAAGGGTATCATTCCTCAAATCCTCCAATCTTCTAGTAATCTACGCCGTAGTCCGTTCCGTACAGCATTAGCTAGACTAATGTACAGTCCTGCTGTACAGGGTCATCAAAATCGACCCTCCCCTCCCCCCCTTCCAGAAGGAAATTAGAACCCCCTCCCCCCCCCCTAGTTCCCTCCTATCCCCACCGTCTCCGATCCTCAAGTCCCCTGGGACCAGTCAGGTCGCCCTGGAATAGAGAGTCATGCTGTTGAAGACGAGGATCCGATATACATAGTACTCATGCGCTTGTTGTACAGTACAGCAGCACCCAAGGCGTACTCTCGATATCTTTTACCTCCTTCACCCATGAGCTTCTACGAACTTCTTACATAGTCGAGAATACAGTATAGAAGAAACACAGCCCATGCCCACAGTATAGTAAACCACCGCGCGCTGCACATTGTCACAACAATCTGGAGTTTACCGCACACTGTCCGATACCCCACTGGCACACTCCCAAATGATCCCAATATAGAATGGGTAAACAAATCCCCTGAAGGCTGAGCTGAGCCCGATAATCACCCACCTCAAATAAACTAATGTCAACTTCGAAATCACTAGCACTAGTACGAGCAATCTACGGGAGACAGAAAAAAACGTGGCTTTTAGGGAGGGGGGTTGGTTCGTGCTCGCCGTGTATAAAAACAGACTAGTCTTGATCAATTCGGTCCAAATCAATTCATCATGAACTCCAGGGAAATATAATTCTTGAATTTCTCGGTTTTGTTTCATCAACGGTGTGATTAGAGATTGCTACGTAATATACGTACCTGCGCATTGTTGTGAGTATGCACGATAGGTAGCAAACCTCGATATCTCGGTGGCGGAACCGCCCCCCCCCCCCCATCCCCTATTATTTGATACATATACTTATGGTTGTTGCTATTCTCTGGGTTGGTCTAAGTCTGAGTATCTCTACGTACACATCAAAGAAAATCCCAAAAGAAGAAACTGGTAGACCAACCCTAAGGGACTAGGGAATCGGGAAGTAATGCCGACGTCGTCGTCGTCGTCGTCGTCTACCCAGTAGATACTATCTTAGTGGGGAACAACAGGAAGGGATTGAAACTATAGAGTAATATAATCAAATAGTACTACTGTAAAGGAAAAAAAAGGAAAAGGAGAAAAATCCTCAGGAGTTACGGAATCTGCCGAGTAACCGACAAACGGCCTTCTTTCTTTTTTCTTTTAATTTATTTTTTTCTTTTTTCGCCAGCAAGAATAAAGTACATAAAAGGCTAATAGCACAAAGGAAGAGGCCGCATAGGATAAGAGACGAGAAAGGAAAGGAGCCCCCGAAGTCAGCATCATAATTAATTCTGAGACTTGACGGAGCACTCTGTACATACACCGACTGCTCCAACTACCGACTTTTTGCGGATCGTTCATCCTGTAAAAACAGTAAAAAGTTCAATCCCGCCTGGCTTACATCATTTGAACAGTTCATTATGCAGATCTCGAGTCTGCTGATTCCTGTGGATTTTTTTTGGGACGATCTCACGTTATATCATTCTGTCGGTCAGATGGGGCCGGCGTAGTCGGGGAGTCGGGGGGGAGGGGGGGGGCAAAGGGGTTAGCCGCGGTGAGCCAAAGCTTTTCTCTCCCCGTCTGGCAACCTGCCATGGAGAATGATGTACAATGTACTCAGTATATGCATGATTCCCCAAGGTCTAACACTCATTTGGGAACCTGGTGGAATCAATTCGCATGCATGCACGGCTACAACATCGGATGACGCAGGTGCCTTGCCACCGGGCCCCAGTTCCCCCATGTCTATAATGACTCCTAACATATAGGTATGTGCATTATACTCATAACCGCTAAACTATACAAAATGCTAGTACTCTAAGCAACCTCACCCAATCATGCTAGAGACGGTGAGCTCTTCCATTGGTATAGAGCCCGCAACACTGCGATGCCCCCTGACTGCGTCTCAACAGTACGCCCTCGGCCCCGATCATTGGCATCGTGCTTGCCCTGCTCGGTTACGTCTGGCTGTTCCTCTGGGGAGCGTGACCACCCGGATGCGAGCTCCCAACCGAACGGCTGCGTTCCGATTCCAAAGCCGGACCTCTCATCGGCGAGTCTCCGCGAGTCACGACTGCGCAGAAGTCCCCTCAGCCCTTCGGACCCCTCAGCCCGTGCTCCATAGTTCTCATAGTCAATCGCTCCCAGCGGCAGAGGGCTTTCATCGGTGATAGTGCTCCCAGATGTGCGGGACTGGTTTCCCCACCACATGCCAAACTTGCCCTCGCTGTTCCGGGTCACAAGAGCCGCGTTCGCATTATGCTCGATCCACGGCCGATATGCGCGACAGCGAGCTTGGTGCCACTCGTACACATACTGCCAGGCCTCTCCTTCCTCATCTGTCTGGTTCGCACTAGCCAGAAATCGTACCTCCTGCGGCCGGATGGGCCGACAAAACTCCGCCAGATGATGGAAGAAAATCCCCTTGAATGTGTGACTGTTCTGAGAGCAACTTCCGGAAGAGTCACACACTTCCTCCAGAACACCGCCGCGTCCAAGACCTTGCCACTGTTGACTGTCCTTATCGGGCCATCCGGTTGCCTTGATCACATTCAGGACTAATTGATGACCATCATACAGGTACTGCTGCAAAGCAGTTGCCAACCAGAGCCCCCTTAGCCCGCTAAGGATAACCCCCTGGTTGTACGTATATACCATTGTGTTGAGGACATCGCACTTGCGGGTGCCCGGCCGGTCATCGCTCTCCCAGCCACTGATGTGGAAGCCGTCACCATAGAGCCCATTGCTCCCGGTCATGTTAGACGAATTGAGCCAGGCATAGCCCTCAATGGCGGCTTGCAGGTGGGCCGGGCTATGCGGATAGCCATCTGACCAGTTCTCGTCCTCAACGATTCCTGCCACAAAGGGGGATTGAATCTTGTCACCTGGAAAATACAGGTACATCCCGATACTCGCCGAGATATATAATTCGTTCGTGATGGCATTCTTGTAGGGGGTCAAGTAAGGGCTCCAAATCATCCCACCGCCACAGAGCAACTCATCCCACCCTCCGGACGCGAGGCCGTAGAACACACGTGCTCGATGCGCCGCGGGGGATCGAAATTGGGTTCCGTGCCAGCGTAGCTTCGCAGTTGCATTGGGCGAGAAAGGGTCGTCATAGTGCAGATCAGAGTGCAAGACTTGAAACTTTATGTTTTCCAGCCAACCCAGGACTACCCACAGCATATCATCGAAGGCCTGACCACGCAGGGAGATGGCATTCTCGCCAAAATAGAACGCGGAAGTCTGGTCGAAGAAGTGGTTGATCAGGTTCTCCGAACCCAATTCATATCGACCGCGCTTCGTCGAGTGCTTCCAGTCTTCAAAATCGTCCAGGGACACAGCGGTCGACAGCACGTCGCCGGTGGTGGCAGTCAGCGAGGCAAGTGTGGCAGAGACATGGGTGCCCAGCACGGCCGCAGTCCAATCGATACTCGACGGCCAAGTGCCTTGCCATAGTTCAAAGTAGGCATCTTGCATCACATGGAGAGCATCCAGCAAGTCGTGCAACGTGCGGCTGATGCTCTCGGCGGACTCGGGAGGTGAATCCGGGGCAGGCAGGGGGAGCTGCTCTGACGGTGATGCATTTATTTCCTCAAGCGGAATCTGTGCGTCCAGGGCGACTGGCGCAAGGACGTCCTGCGACCGCAACGCCAGCGCATTGGTCTCAAACAGGGTTAGGAGCAGACAGAGAAATCTAAAAATGACCAGAAATGCTTGCATGATTGTAATTCTGTTTGTTCTAATTGGATTTACCCCGGATCCGAGGGGTTGGAGTTGGGCTTGTTTCGAAAGCCTGGTAACAAAGGGAGGAAAGGGACAGTAACAGTGGAAAGGCAGGTAGAAGGGACGACGATTGTCTTTGGATTTTAAGAATAGCTATTTCAGACACGCGGGGGAGATAGATGCACGGAGAGTGGGCTGCATGCAATTGAGGGAGCTGATCGAATGAGACATAATCAGCTCAATACTGCCCAGTCCGTGCCATGAAGGGAGGAAGGAGGGGGAGGAGGGAAGGAGGAACCGGGCTTGGTCCGGAGTGATGATGATGATGATGATGGATGATGATTGAGAGATTTGGGGGGGGGGGGGGGGGAAGAAAGACTCGGGAGTCGAAGGTTAACTTCGGCGCTGTGCGGGGGAGGGAAGGAAGGGAGGGAGAAGGGGGAAGGGAGGAGTCTCCGGCAGGCTTAACTAATCCCACCTTGGAATGAGCTCCATCTCTTTCCACGGCACCTTTAACTACAGACTGGCAGTTGGCACTTCTTTTTACTTAAACAGTCAAATCTTGGTCTCGCATCACGCGCCCTCCTTGTTGTTGGTCGCATGGCATTCTAAACTTAACCCCAGAGTCCCGACGATCTTATGCTGATTGCTTCGCTTGTCCGGTGCCTTGACCCCCCCCCCCCCCCCTCAAATCCCCGCATTTACTTATCGGATGATCATTTATCAATCATTTGGAGAGTGCTTACAAGGATCCATGGTTTCCCAACGGTCTCGTGGGTTAAGGGCACCTGTCATGCACCAAGGTGAGCAACAAAGCATTTTGGTTGAAGGGTGCTACAAGCATTGAGATGGCCATGCGACACTCGTATTCGGTGAGTTCAACCGACACAATGATTAATTACACACGCTAGTAGACAGAACGGGATATCTAGCTCTGTGACATCAGTCATTCAGGTTGGATGTTCCTACTGCAACATTAGATGACGGCCATGAAGAGATAGGCGGAACAGTTGAGAGAGACCAGTAGCACATACCATATCACTGAAACCTCATGACGCCGGCACCATCCTCCTTTGAAGCTTTCCCGCCCCCCCGTCAGGCGACGAGCATAATATGGACCTCCCAGGAGACAATGCCGGCTTTGTTCTGCTTCCCCCACCCCTCCCCCTAAAGCCGATTTGGTGGAGCCAGCAACCCGGACTTCCAGCTCACAGCATGAATTATCTGGACAACCCTAAGTAGCCAATGCGATTCTTATTGTAGTGCGAGCGCAAAATAGCAGGACCCCAAATGCTGGCGGAGGTCTGGAGCAAACAAAAGGCCAAGTTTCTGGCGCATCCACAGCCTGTGAGATGAATTGAAAAGAAGACGCTCTCCCAACAAACAAAACATCACGGCGGGCTTAGTCCCGTGCATCATCGGCTCCAGGACTGCGGCTCCTCTCGCGGCTTCTGCTGCGGTTTCGGCCGCCGCCACGTCCACCTCTCTGTCCTCCGCCCTTTCCTTTATTCGAGGGAGGCGGTCTAACGAATGCGAAATCGACGGAGATGGTCTGGTCCAGTAGTTTGGAGCCGTTCAAGGCTTTGATGGCGTCCGAGGCTTCGGGGAGGGTGGAGTACTCGATCAAGGCATATCCCTGTTTCAACCACAGACGAGTCAGTATCTGGCATACCATGAGAAGCAACGAGAGGAGTTCAGGGGGTAACAGCTGGGAGAGCTTTCTAGCTCCGGTGACGCTGTGTATGGCAGGAGTGAAGGTAGTAGTGACCGACCTTGACGTAACCGGTCCGGCGGTCCAGGTTCAGGCTGAAGTTCTTGATCTCTCCATATTCGGCGAACAAGTCCGTGACGTCCTCCTCAGAGGCCTCTTCATGGATGTTGGTCACGATGACAATCCATCCCTCGATGCTGCGTACTGCGACGGCTCCCGCCTGTGTTCTCGGATCGTGGCTACCGTTGCTGGACTGCGCGGGAGCTTCTTCTTCTTCTTCCTCTTGTTGCACCACCGGAGGGTCGACTTCCATTTCCGTAGACATGATGGCGATGTAGGAGTAGTAGCTATACGCCGAGGGAGGAGATAGCTTTGAGGTAGTAGTTCGAGGAGGGCCAATGGCTGGAATTGCAGTTCGCCGTCCGAGGCTTGCGATGATCTTGCGAAGCTTTGCGGTGTGCTTAGGTAATCGGACTCAACTTCCCGACGGCGCTCAGTGACTGACTGGCCCTAACCTCGTTCCATATTCGATCTCAGCAATCTCAGGAGCTGGAATGATATATTAGAGTGCAATCCAAGCAGAAAGCAAATTTCAACTTCTAGTCAAACGAAGGAAGGAGAATTCACTGGGGAACTGTGAAGTTGACAGTGTGCCCACGATGATATGTAAATATGAGCTGATGACCGGCACCTGGATCTCACCTACTCATGAATGCCGTCTCGCATAGACTCAAGTTCCTTCTGTAACTTGTACTGACCAGCTTTGATAAGTTGCTTGTCACTGTAGGTAGATAGACGGTCTTACTCAGTACGCTTAGTGGGTGCAATGTCTATCAGGCCTTAGGTGATGGCTTCTTGCAGGACGCCTTCCATCTTTGAGGCATGATGTAGTATACTTCAAGAAGCCTCGCCAGTGATGATCGCCGACTGGCCATTCAACCTAGGGGGCAGCGGCCTTCCGGGCAGCTTGTCTATTAACTAAGCAACTGCACGTAGCTAATGGCATTTCACATGTGAACAGTAGCTTGTGTCCTAAGATGATATCTCACTTGGTGAGGCTGATTCAAGACCAGTGACTGTTGTATGCGTTATAGCTGACATGTTGGGGATACTAAGCATTGGTGTCTAGCTCAATGTTTACATGCAACGTCTAGTAAATGTCGAACATCTGGTATCATTCTACAGTCCATATCAGTGGATGATTGCTTGAATTGTAAGTGTCCAAATGACTACCTTGAGCATCACAAGATTGAGAAGCTTCCATGCTCTCTTTGGCTTTTCTCATTGTAAATTTAGTAGTACTTCCTGTAAGAGCACATCACTACGTTATGGCATAGCACCTTGAGGTGACGTGCGTCTTAGACAAAATCAATTCTTGAATTTGAAGTGCTACAAAGATAAGCAGCAGTATTCTCAGTGAAAAAGAGCCAGTGAACTGGCGGTTGCTACGTGCAATTATAGTGTAAACATCCTCGATCCTAACACCAATCCCATTTGCTCACAGAGTTCTCTTCCCCCTCATCGCCCCCGTGTACATCTCTTTACAAGACTCACATCTTTTGCAGACCAACCTAGACACAAGCCCTTACGAGAAATAATTCTCAATCCACCATGAAGTACTTTCGTGCACTTCACCCACATACACCCGAGGAACCGACAGTCGAAGGCGATCAAAGCAAACGTGTGTCTGTCGCAAACAATCCATGGCAAGTCTCCTCCTCCCACATCAACAACAAACAAGACAAGAATTCTCATACGTTGGAACTCCCTCGGGCAGCGACGATCCGTCGTGCGTCTGCCACTTCAGATATCCTACCCGATTCCCCAAGCTCGAAGCCGTCGTGTGCGGCCCAAAGACAGGCCAGATCCGCGAGCTGCACCAGGACGAAACCCAGCTAGACGTGGCCTTCGATGCGGTCGGCAACCGAATGCTCATCAACGAGCACTACCCCAATCTTGTCAACCGCTGCATGTCGGTCGACGTCAGCCTTATCCTCAAAGCCAAGTACGTGCAGTTCATGAACCTGGAAGGTCTCTCCGACCACTCCCTGCTCCTCACCTTGCGGATCGGACGCACCGCCTCGGCCGTGAGGGGCAACAAGATGATCCTGAAGGAGAAAGTGCGCGGCTTCTTCGAGTGTTCGCCACACATGCGCCTGTTCGAGGATCTCTACGAGTGCCGCTGGCCGGAAAAGTTCATCCAGATCCGCTTGCCCGAGCAAAGATGCAAGCGCTGGAAGACGGTGGCGCTGATCCTCAAGGCGTTCAACCAGATCACCTCGGAGAGATATTGTCAGATGGCGGGGATGATGATGACGCCTCGGGTCGGGGGCTTGGATGTGCGTGCCATCCAGAGAGAGATCAAAGCCAGGAAGGAGAAGGGCAAGGGCTTGAATAAGGTCCGCCGTCAGGACTCTATCTCGGCGAGATACAAAGTTGCAGTGAGCGATGCCGACAAGATTGAGCGCGTTAACCTGGCATACGCGGTGCATCTCATGGCCTTTATCAACTCCTCCCCGTTTACTCCGCGTGAGTATAACGACAGGCTCTCTTAACTGCTGTCGTAGCTCTGTGGCCGAGACTGTGTGCTGTGCATCACATCTGACTTTGGTTAGCAGTGAGAAGGAGGACATACGAAGAGCAAGAGGGGATTGTGACTATTACAGCCTGCGATGTCACTGGCTTACACCACAACTTATCTTCAAGGTTGGTGGGAAAGTGCGGATTCAGCATAGGCATATGATATTCGATAATTAGGGTCACATGGAGCATCAAGGTCTTCATTTCAGTCTTTGCATCAGCGTTGGGCGCAGGTATTGAGGCTGGGAACGCTTTATGTCTTTTTATTTCGGATCAATCTTCCATGATGTGGAATGTTAATATCTAACGAGGTAATGTTAATACAGATGATCTTCGGCAGAACACCGAAAAGAAAATGATTAATCTAAGCTCGTTTGTCTGCATTCATGATCTTTTAAGGTGCCGTATCTCCCAGGGTATTCCAGCCATGGATCCATGAAAGAGACCCCAGCTGTCAAGACTTGTGTCTCACATGATCAAACACTTTATCTGTCGTTTCTTTTATGTGATATCTGCTATTAGGCTCGGACTTATGAAGGAAGGATACCATCCCGACGATGCTCCTTGCATAATGCTCTGCACCGTACCTGGTCGTCGAAGTCACACCAGGCTCTTCCTATAAGCGGGTTGTCTCCAGATGTACCCTCTTTCGCATCTAAGCAGAGGTCCCGCGCATAGCTTCCTTCCTCAACTGATATATTCGTTCCTCGTTTCTTCAAAAACCAATTGAGATGATCGGATTGAAGGTATGAATCGCCCATCCTGAAAGTCAAAGTGCCTATGCCAAGCTTTTCCAGGTGAGACCAAGTGTTTTGGGTTCATCCCTTACATACTATTCTCTTGTGAGGGGCCGGATGGATTGAAAACACAATCCTCCGTAGAAGGACAAAAAATGCCTATTTATGAGTGAAGATGCAGGATGGCACCCCGGAAGATCATGCTTTAAGATAACCTCCTGAGCATCTCGATTCTCCGCATCCAACCTCCTCGATTCCCGAACCAGTTCATTTGAAAAACCGCATGAGCTGCAGGTTACCGCATGCTGCAACACGCTCTCGGCCATGATGGACTGTTGCAGTGCGGCTGGGATGATCCTTGCATACAGAAAGGGCTGCCATTGTTTCACAGACCGTCAGGACGAATTGAAACGAGCCAATCGCATGTGAATCCACCCAAGGATACTTACAGCATGGGTAAGGACCGGAGACCGCCTCATACGTTGACCGTTTTCTCCCCGCAAAATGTTGTGCCGGTTCGTGCATCCGGAGTTATGCCTGCATGCTTCATCAGAACGAGTCAGACTCGATCGAAACAGCACAGCGTATTGTCGTACACTCAGTACATTGCACTATCCTCACACCCACGGTTTCGAGATTCTTCATGGTTCTTCCCATTCGGTACAATCGCGTATTATGAAAGCCTGCAGAGCAACTTCTGGCAGCTCCACTTAGCAGTATGCAGGTCATTCTCCCCTTGAACCATAAATCGCCGAGGGGCATCTTGCCTAACCCTATAATGAACCTTCTCAGATTCGGCCGCTCAGAGTCTGAATTTCCGAGTCTGCATCTTTCCGGTCCTAGTTGGCCGAGCCTGTCGACGAATACGCTTTAAAGGGAGGGGGGGTAGGTAGCACTGCTTTGGATGGAAATTTCCATCATGCCCGTCTATTGTCTTTTCAACTAGTCCTTCCTTCTGCGACAGAGTCCGATCTTTGGCTCTCCGTATGCGTTATCTTTCCTTAATCTTCCTGCGCAATCACATTCATTTGTCGAGACCATCTAAAGTATAGATTCGAGAATCTCGAGATCAACCATTCCTTAATAGACCGGGTTTCAACATCAAACCTCTCTTTCTTTTGTCTTCTTGCTCTCAAGCAGGACTATGGAAGATATATGCAACACAAAAAAGTAGTGGTGGCATTGAGAATAACATCCCCGTTATTGTTTGTCACATAACATAGCCTCTTTCCAGCATACAGTTGCAAGCACACTAGCACGCCATGGCATCACCACTCCACACAGCGCGATGGCTTCATGCACTGATGCTCATAAGCCCCTTCAGCACGGCATTGACGGCCAGCACCGGGGCATGGAGAACCAGATCGGTGTATCAGACGATGACGGATCGATTTGCTCGCACGGATGGGTCGACCACCGCGCCCTGCAACACGACCGCCGGTCTATACTGCGGGGGCACCTGGCGCGGCATGATCGACCACCTGGACTACATCGAGGGCATGGGCTTCGACGCGGTGATGATCTCGCCGATCATCAAGAACGTCGAGGGGCGCGTCTCCTACGGGGAAGCCTACCACGGCTACTGGGCCGAAGACCTGTATGCCCTGAACTCGCGTTTCGGGACGGAGCAGGATCTCCTCGACCTGAGCGAGGCCCTCCACGCCCGCGGCATGTACCTGATGATGGACACGGTCATCAACAACATGGCCTACCTCACGAACGGCCACGACCCGGCCACCAGCATCGACTACTCGAAGCTGCAGCCCTTCAACGAGGCCCGGTATTACCACCCGTACTGCCAGATCACCGACTACAACGACTACCCGCTGGCGCAGCGGTGCTGGACCGGCGACGACATCGTCGCCCTCCCGGACCTGAAGACTGAAGACCCGGACGTCCAGGGCATGCTCAACCGCTGGATCTCCGAGACCATGGCCAAGTACTCGATCGACGGGCTCCGTCTCGACGCCGCCAAACACATCACCCCGGCCTATTTGCGGGCCTTCCAGCAAGCGGCCAACGACTCGCTGGTGACTGGGGAGGTCTTCGACCGGTCCGTGGACACCATCTGCAGCTACCAGGACAACAACGAGCTGACCAGCGTTCCCAACTACCCGATCTACTACGCGCTGCTCGACGCCTTCACGCTGGGTGATACCACCGACCTCCCCAACCGCATCGAGGAGATGAAACACGCCTGCCCCAACGTGAGCACCCTGACCACCTTCTCCGAGAACCACGACGTCCCCCGCTTCGCCAGCCTAATCAAAGACCTAAACGTACGTCCCTTCCCCCTTTCCCCAATCCCCTCATCTCCCCCACACCCCCCCCTTCACCCCCAAACTAACCACCCCCCGCCGCAAAGCTCGCAAAAAACATCCTAACATTTACCCTCCTCTACGACGGCATCCCAATGATCTACCAAGGCCAAGAACAGCACCTGAGCGGCGCGCACGACCCACAGAACCGCGAAGCCCTGTGGCTGACGGGGTACGCCAACACGCCCGAGGCCGCGCCGCTGTACACGCACATCGCGACGCTCAACGCGCTGCGCCGCCACGCCATCCGCCTCGACCCGGCCTACGTCGACACCCTCACCTACCCGCTCTACCGCGGGTCCAGCGAGATGGGGTTCCGGAAGGGCCGCGAGGACCGCCAGGTGGTGATGGTGCTGTCGACGCAGGGGAGCGCCAGCGGCGCGTACAAGATCCGGCTGACGACGGGGTTTCAGCCCTCCGTCGAGGTGGTGGAGGTGCTGAGCTGTCAGCGGTACACGGTGAGTGAGGCTGGGGAGTTGTGGTTGGGGATGGATCGCGGGGAGCCCCGGGTGTTGTTTCCGGTGAGGTGGATGGAGGGGAGTGGGTTGTGTGGGTTTGGGGAGGGGGTAGGGAATGGTGATGGTGGATTGGGGACGGGGGGAGAGGGAGCGGGGGGCCAGGGTGGAGGAGGAGGAGGAGGAGGAAATGGTGGTGGTTCGGCGGGTGGGGGGAGGAATACGGGGATACCTTCAGGGGCTTCCTCTGTGAGTGTTGTTGGGGGTTGGGGCACTGGGATGGGGGTGCTGGTACTGGTCGGGTTGTGGATGGGGATGTGAGGTTTGAGGTGGATTAGGGTTGGTGAAGTTGTGGGTTGGAGTAACATGATATCTGTTATAGGTCAGATGCTTGCGCCGAGGGAAATAAGCTACGGAGTTAACGGAACCTCCCAAAATTACATATGAAGCTGGATGATGATGAGTGGAGATGTCTATTGTTTCCTCCTGGTATGCGGCTAATACTAAAGCTATGCATACATTTGATGCCGGACCCCCCAGTTCCTAGCATTAAGACCGACCATTGCTGTCCACCAGCATAAGGGGGGAATGGAATGTGCCCTAGTAAAATGTTCCATCTACAGGCAGTAAAAAAGGATCAGTGGGAAACATGAAAGGAAAAAAATTACACCGGGCGCTTAAGCAGAACCGAAATATCAATCAACCTTGTTCCAACTTCTCCATGATCCGAATTCCACAAGAATCCGGTTATTAATGTGACGAGTAGTCAACCGGTCAATCAAAGTGGCTCTCGATGGAGCCACAGGATAGAATGTTGTGTTCAGAAGCCATAGCGAAGCGTTTACTTCCGCTGCTGGCGCATGCCCAGAATCTGGACCATGCGGACGAAAATGTTAATGAAATCCAGGGTCAAGCTGATGCTCTCGTTGACAACATCCTTGCGAACGAGGCCGCGCTGAGAGAGGCGAGCGTGGTGAAGGATCTTCTGGACGTCATAGAGGGTGAAACCACCGAAGACAGCCAGACCACCGTACAGCCAGATCTTCTCGGACCACATGAGAGTGCGGGTGGCGGTGACAGGGAGAACCATAGGAGCGAGACCGGAGAGAGCAACGATGGCAACACCAGCGAGCAGAGGACCACCCAGGTACAGGTACTTCTCCTGCTTGGCGGTGGCACCAACGAAAGCAATGGAACCCATCATTCCGACAGTGTAGAGACCGGCGCGGGCGAGCAGAGCGGGGCTCATGAACATGAGAGGGGACAGGAGAGCGGCTTGAGTAATGTTGAAAGCAGTCCAGAGACCATACTTCACGACGTAGCTAGTAGTGTTGTTAGCATTGCTGTTCGGCCTAGCTAGAACGGGGACGCCTCGCGGAGTACTCACTTGTCAGGAGAAGTGTACAAAGTACCGTACATAGTTCCAATGCTAGCGACGAGACCAAGACCCATAACCAACCAAGGGTTGGCAGCCATCATGCGGTAAGAGAATCCGTTCATGTGCATAGCGCGAGCGGCAATAGCGATGATACCAACACCAAGTCCGGTGTGCATGAAAGTCTCGTTCAGGTAGCTGCGCTCGTAATGGGGCATACCGCCATCCTCGCGGGTCTCGCGGTTGAAGATCAGGTTCGTTGCGATGATGGTGCCTCCAACGATGGCGGCACCGTAGCCCAATTTTTGCAGAAGTTCGCCACGAGTGTTGTAAGTGGGCTGTTGCATATACGTCCGGCGGAAAGCATTCTGGAAGGTCTGGCGAGATTTGGCGAAGATGGAAGATGAGAAGGAACCGGTAGGCTTCGGCTGGGCAGGCTTGAATGGTGTGTTGTGGATGAAACGAGCGCTGTTAGCAGGCTTGGAGATTTGACGAAGCGCCGTCGGAACGGCGAACGGGCGCCGCAAGAAGAACGCCATGATTGTTCGGGTGGTGTTTTGCAGGATGATGACGATGAGAAGAAGAGGAGGAAAGCCGCTTTAAAACGAAGCGATGATATCAATCCGGGGTGCCGCTGGCTACGGCGGCCCGAACGTTCGAGAAGCGAAGTCACGTGTAAGTGACTCAAGAATTACTCAGCGCTGGCCGCGCTCGGCGATAATCTTGGTGGGGGAGGGGGAATTAAGGGACTTAAGCCGGATATCTGCGATTCAGTTCTATCCGATACTTACTTGTAAGTGACCTCGCACCTTCTAGCATGTGCCTCTGTTGTATGTCTGACCATTTCTCGGCAGCTCTGTTCCGTAATCGATAGCCTTGCTTCGCGCCATGTCTTCCTCGTGCCTCGAAACCATAGAGCTTGCGCATCTGCCACCTTCGATGCCCGTGCATGTCGCACTTTATCGGGATGTCAAAAATGCTGCTTCTCTTCGACAACAGCTGATCTCAGGAAACGCTGACTTTGAGTATGCCTTCATCGATGCGAGCATGGTATGGATGATCATCAAAACCCTGGGCTAGTCAATATTCATTGGTTCTGATGGTGGTTCGCAGGTTCTTTCCAGAGCTCATGCTTTGTCCGCCGTCTTTCGAGCCGTGAATGACTCGATCAATGGACGTCTTAAGTCCCGGAATGTTCACTCAGAGATTGTTTTCTCATTCAGTCCAGCGAACAACGTGCGTCTTTGAGGTGGAACGCGACATGCACCGACAGCCTGGCTAACTCTCTCCAGATCGCCGAATCATTCCGCAAATTCGGCATTGCCGACTCCACCAAAGACCTGCTAGTGATCAAGGTCTCGATGACACCGGACGTCACTCACGACTCAGTAGCAACCCATCTTTCTCAACATGTTGAAGGCTCGGCTGTGCCGTTTGACGACGAGACCCTGTCGAGCATTGCCGATGTGACGAAAATCAAGAAGGCTTATAAGCTGGGTGCACTGAAGACTCCTCCATCCACTCAGGCAAATGGCACACAGGGCGATGGTATGAGACAACTTGAACTCTCTGTCTTGGGAGCGATTGCGTTGCGTGGGGCCACTTGATCGGCACGTAAGGGTTGAGATACCTTTCCTGCCAATTTCCATGATGGAACATCAACAGGCTTGTGGAAGCAGCCATCTGCTGCTTCACGCCATTCAACTTGCCTATCGCATTTTGGGTCTGTGTTAAACATCCCCAACCAAGCTTGGCTTCGTCCAAGGCTTGTCCCGAGAGATGCTTCTCCGGAATGAGTGAATTACTTGGAGCGCTATTGCTCTAGCAGATAAGAGACAAGGTTTTCCGGGATCTGTGCATGGGATTTAGACGGATATTGCTCGGAGTTGCAGTGCCATGTACATAGTTTCTGCACAGCAATTAACTAGAACGGATAGCATAGATATACCTGGTGGTCAATACATTGCTAAAACAATCTTTAAGTGAAATAAATCCACTTGTTGTAGTTGCATGTACAGGCTAAGATGGTAGCGATGGGCGAACAGATCACATGCACACGGTTGCCCAGTCCACCGATGTCGTCATCCCGAAACGGAAATCCTTCAACAACTTTGCCAAGACAAATCGCGGAGGTCTCGATCCTCGCCGCATCTACAACTTTTACAAATTCAGTATATCTTGTACGGCCCAGCAACTCATGCACTATACCACAATCAATGGTCAAAACCGCACTATAGAATAGAGACTTGTGAGTCATATCTCAAGCGAAGTTCTACGGACCATCGCCGCCTAGATGGCCCGGAGAGACCGAGACCGGACTCATCGAGACTCGCCACCATGACCGCCACCGCGGAGGTCATTGTACTGTCGTCCTCGCCAGAGCACAGCCCAGTGAATCCTCCTGCGCCACCCAAGTACGATGCGCAGCAGCTCTTCGGACTGTCGCCGATCGATACCTCCACTTCTCAGCCGCCGTCTCCGTCGGACCTCTTCCAGGACCCTACGCGTTCCAAATTCTTCGAGGGCGGGAAACAGTCCACCAAACGAGCTCGGAAACCCACAAAAGCCGCGTGCAAGACTACGGATGTCGAAGGGGTAGATGCGACAGGGGTCAAAGACGGTCAACCTGGGAATAAAGTGGAAAAGAGAGGGAGGCCCAAGAAGAAAGCAGAGGCCGGCGTGGAAGAATCAAGCCTTACGGGCGAGGACCCGTCTAAGAAGAGCTCGTCGAAAAAGCCGACTACTAGGGAAAGGAAACCGAACGTGCCGAAGACTACGACAAAGCGCGCGATAACTGCAAATAAGACCATTTCAGGAAGGGTTGCGAAGGCTGGTCGCTCGTCGCAGCCAATCGAGGGACAATCTGGCAAGAAGACCGATTGTCCCTCAACCCCGCAGGTTTCTTTGAATCAGAACTCTGCGAATGATACCCGCGACTGGGAGAAGGATGGCTTACAATTGGAACAAGCGTTGAAGAGAAGACTGGATTGGACGCCCACAGACGGCACTATAGAACAAACTGGAGGGTTGGATATTCAATTGGAGCACAACAGCAATGAAATGAAAAGTTTCGGAACTATGCTATCTGAGTTTGGTTTTGGTGGTGGCTCTGCTCCTCGGGCTATGAATCAGATTCCAGAGGAGAACGGCCTCACCAAGAGGAGGCGCATTGAAGTATGTCCCATCTGCTGGATCTCGGCGACCCGTCACTTCCTTCTCAGGAACTAACTTCTCTCACAGCTTATTGACGCTAGAGTATATCCTGGGAACAAGCCAAAAACAAATGAGAGTAGCGATAATCATTCCACTGAAGATGAAACCTCGAGTTCCAAAGTCCCTGCCGCGAAAAAGAAAACCAGCAAGCCAAAGAAGTTCTCGACACTTACAGCGAGGGTAACTGCTCAGTATACCCCCAATCCTACGGAAGCTATGGACAATTCGGAGGGTAGTTCCTCGGCCAGTATGTCATCAGCTCCCACGTCCAAGAAATCGACAACAAAGAAGGGTAAGATCACTAGGGCGCAAGAACCAGAGCTTGTTATACTCTCACCTGAAGCCGCCGTCAGATCTCTCGAGGATCAAGAGCTGGTCTTTGGCACTTGCAGCCAGTTAGAACGTGAGGACTCTCCTACTATGATAAGAGAGCTGCAAACAGCAATTCGAGAATCAGAGCAAAGTCTAGCATTGGAAACAAGCATTCGCGTGAACAATGGCGCAAATAAAAGCCTACCACTGACAGTTTCACGTTTCACGGCTTCGAGAAATCTGTGGTCTGTCGCAGCCCGCGATGTTGACGGGACGGTCTTGCCGGTTGAGGTAGTCGATTTAGTAGACGGCTCCGATACACCGAAGCCTCGGTCTGCTGTCAACAGTGTTGATAGCAAGGAAAACAAGGATAAAAATGTATCTGCAATTTCCAACGAAGAAGTAGTGCCCGATGCACAGAAACCCGCAGAAGATCTGTCTACCTCTGCTCCTGAAACCTCAGACTCTCTTGACAAGCAAGCAGGTCCGGGCACATCACAACCTCGAGCCCGACAGCCTCAACTACCGCACTTCAGTGGTTTCACAGATGCTCAACTATCCAAACAAGTTACCTCTTATGGATTCAAGCCCATAAAAAGCCGCCCAAAAATGATCGAGATTCTCACCAAATGTTGGGAAACCAAGCATGGTACAGCTGCTCCATGCGTACCAGGTAACCCGGCTCCCCAACCCCCTGCCTCATCACCGTCGGAAACAGTCATTCCCAAGACCTCAACCAAGAGCACCCAGCCGCGAAAGACTACAACCACCAAGCAAACAGACGTCAAACCAAAGTCGAAGAAATCAGATACAATCACCGAGTCAACAACGGCCTCGATAAAACCAACAGCTGCCAGGAGCAAACCTCCCAAACCATCACAAATACCTACCAAACCCAATCGCTTATCGCTCACGAATGGCGTCACTTCCACGATATCTTTTGCAGACGTTGAAGAGATACAAGACTCCGAAGAAGACGAGAGCATTCCCTCTCCGAGCCGCTTACGAGAAAAATACCTCCTCCAGCACCACGTCGCACCTCAATCAAGCCTACCAACCACCACCACTACCGCCGTTCCACCTACCTCCAGCAAGATCAAACCACCCAATTCCTCGCCAAAGATCACGGAGAGCGCGACGAAGCTGAGTCTCGAGGCTCCCAACCTCCACGATCAGATCACCCAGGCCGTGCACGTACAGCCTCGACTCCGACCCACCAGCACCAGCAGACAACCCAGCTGGCACGAGAAAATCCTCATGTATGATCCCATCATCCTTGAGGATTTCACAACCTGGCTGAACACGGAGGGCCTGGGTCTCGTCAATGAGGATCGTGAAGTTGGCGCGGCGCTGGTGAAGGAATGGTGCGAGGGGAGGGGGGTTTGTTGCTGTTATCGACCGAAGGGAAGAGACGGGTGAGGTGTCGTTTCCTGCTTCCGGGATTGTGCCCTGACACATGAATGCGTATTATGTTCGCGTATTCGATCTCATGCATCAAGAGGAGTTTTGGCTTTGTTACTGGACAGGGCGTTCTTGAAATTCATCCAAATCTGGGTCATTGGGAAATACCCCTATATAGGTACTTGGCATAAGGTGTTTTGATTTGTGAATATTTTCGGGGTATGTGTAAGAAGCTCAATTGAGCACCTGGTTACTTTACCAGTTATATTTGCAATCGACTAGTCATGGCTGGTTTACCTCTAAAGCCCGCTCCAGGTAATCCATATGGTGGACGGAGCCCCCCCACCCTCCGGCGACGATTATGCATATCGCAACCTCATCCCAGCAAGGCATCACCCCTACCTAGCAACTTAGTCTTACAAGGAAATGTGCGTAGCGTCCTACTAAGAAGCTGCGGACCCTTCCCTCCTTAGCCTCACCTCTCTAACACAGCAGTAAGTGCCAACAATGGCCGAAGGGACTCTTCCTGGCTCTACCAGGATGACATACGTGAGCTTTCTGCAAGGGCGCCCCACGCAGATTATGCATGTGTTGCTTGATTGCCTGGTCTACTGATCTGGCGACGCCCGCCTACTTAGTAGACTCACACCAATATATACGAATAGAGGGGCGATGGGGGGATGTTGGATGTTCCCATGACGCATTGGGAAGGCGCACCATGACGCCCCCCCCCACCCGCGCGCGCGCCGGCACCGGCGTTGGGGTTTGTTCCATGACAAATCCTGTAGGTACCTATTGTACTACAGTTTGCTGAGGCGGTGGGATGAGTGAGCCCCAAGACACATTACAGCACAGGACAAGCTGATCGTCCGCTGGGAAGACGGGCTCGACTTGGCAATGCGCATTTCCTCTGACCTTGCACACTCGGCTGACAGTTTAGGCCGGGCAGAACCGAAGCGATCCGGATGGGGGATATGCTCATTCTCTAAGGGCGAGAGGCTGGTATCTCCTAAATTTCAACGATTATATTGTGGCGTGGTCGAGAGTTGAGGAATTAAGAAGAAACGGGAGGAAACGGGTGCGACCAGAAAATGAAGAAGGAAAAAAAAAAAAAAAAAAAAAGAGATAGAGGAATCTAAGGTGCAAAGAACGGAGACTGGCACAAGTTTTTACATGCATACAATATCAACCGGCTCAACCTGGTATCATAGACCATGCTGCCATGTGCTTCTGTGTCCAGCATCAAACTCCTTTCATGCCTGCGTTGCCGTCATAACCTGTAAGATCAACCGCAAGAAAATAAAAAAAAAAAAAAAAAAAACCACCCCTATCCCACCCAAGTAAGGACATAATTCGCCAGAAGAGCCGACCTAGAGTTGTAATATCATTTCACAAGTTCATGCAATGCAACCAAAATCCATCACGACTATTTGAGTCGTGAACCTGAAAGACATATGGGGAGAACCAAACTCCATGACCCAAGCGAGAGTATAATATAGAGGGGGGAGGAAATGGAGGTCCGAGATATAGCCTCTTATATAGCCATGAGGAAACGGGCAAAAAGTATGTCACACAGTCAATGCGGACGGCCTATATCAAACAATAAATGCTCCGATTCTGAGATCTAAGGACAATGACTGCTTCAGCGTCGACATCTGTCTGGAAAGCCATCGTCTTGTGGCGATGAAATCCCCATGCCGCGGCTTGAAGCTGCCGACGCCGCAGAGGCTCACCGGAAGACTTTCCCGTTTACAGCAACGGTTTCGAAGCTGATTCGCCTTGCGTATTTGGAAGAGCTTCCAGCTTCGAGCCATGGCGTGAGATTCTTGCATTGGCTGACATCGAAGGACTCTAATTTATCGCAGCCCTCTGCCACAGCCTCAACGCCAGCACCAGTGACTCGGACACAGCCACGAACTGACAGACGCTTGAGATGCAAGAGATGGAGTCCAATACTCCGCAACGAAGGGTCAGATATAGCAGAGCCGCAAAATGACATGTTGAGGTAGGTCAGGTTGGAGCATTGTAGGGCGAGTACTTCTGTCGCAGTGTCTGAAAGGGCACAGCAGAAAGACTTTGCTGGTCAGTAAGCGTCTCACGCGAGAATGTAAGGAATGCTCTTGTGCTTACCAAATCCAGTTCCTGAAGTTGTTTGGCGGCATTCGTTAGATAGACAATAGCATTGTCGGTCAGATATGTACAGTCTGCTAGACACAGCCTCCTCAGGTTGGTAAATTGTGCGTTTCCCCAATACTGAAACCCTTGATCGGTGATGGTCGTGCAGCGGGTGAGGTCCATTTCCTCGATTCTGGAGGCAGCATGCGACGCAATATGATGCATCGAACGATCGGTAACATGCTTGCAGTAGGATAAGGTTAACTTCTTGAGTTCGGGACAGCCGTACACAGTCCCGGCTGCAGTTTGCATGGTGGGTTTTAAGGACGCTTTTCCGGACTTCGCAGGCTCCTCGCTGGGCTTATGTTGACCGGGTACAACCCAGCCGACAATCCGCGCCAATAATGTGTCGCCGACCTTTCGACAGTTGCTAAGATCAACCTCCTGTAAGCCTTTTGCTTTACTGGCCATGTCAAGGATGGCCGATCCCGTTACGTCCCACACGCTCTTCATCTTCCAGCCAGTAACGTTGGAACCACATACAGCAACCAGCTTGCTGAACCCCTCATCCGTGATATGAAAACAATTGCTAATGTTGACGAAGCGAGGTCTGCTGCCGACAAACGGGCAAATGATTTTCGCCAGGACGTCATCCGTGATGCACCGATTATATACGCTCAAGTCAAGATTATGGAGCAGCTCACTGGATGTACTCAGGAGCTCAGACCAGTGCATCGAGACAGCGCGGAGGCGTAGAAGGTCATGGAGCGCCATATGCCGAAAGACTTTTGTGAGGACATTATCCGGAAGCACACCGTGGTTATCCTGGCGGGGTGCACGGGTGCTTTCCTGGGACGTGGAAAGTCTATGGGCTCCAGGTAACGTGAGAAAGGAGGAACTCGTGGACCGTGGCTCAGAGGATGGAGTTGATGGCCGCTGTTGCTCTCCGGAGGCTTCCTCCGGGGTCATCGGGGCAACAGACCCGCGTCGACTTCGAAGGCGAACTTTGTCCAAGCCGATGTTAAGAAATGGATCTGGATCTGATGGGCGTAAGAGAGCCTGCTCATCTACACCATTGGGTCTTGGCGTGCTATCCAACTCTGTCTCTGTCAGTGTTAGAAGCGGCATAGACTGCCTCCGAGAAGCCCTTAATTTGAAGTTATCATCGACCTCCATATGGTTACCGTAAGGCTCAGCGCCCGCATCATCTGACATCACAACATCGCCATCAGAGGCTGACTGGAGCCGCTCTTTAGCGGTTTGCTCGACTTGCTGACGGACCTTCTGGGGACATCTCTCCCAGAACTCAGCCAACACCTCACCGCTGATCATCAAACATTCTACCGCACTAATAGACCGCACAGTAGCGGTTCTTCGAGGTGCTAACGACAGGCTTACTACCTCTCCAAAATACTGGCCTTGTTTCAGCCGTGCTTTCACTTCGAAGCCCGGGTGTTCGATGGTCTTCGGTAGGGACTGTGTTTGCTGTGCTTCTGCCCTCTCCGACAGAACCTCCACTTCGCCGCGAACAATGAAGTATATCTCACGTCCTTGAGAATCCTGTTTGATGATGTCGGTGAAAGGAGGGTAGGATCGGGGTTGCGCATTGAGTCCCAGGAAGTGAAGGATATCCGGCGGCAGGCCGGCAAACAACGGTAGTTCCTTGAGAAGAAGACGGACATTGACCAGTCCATTCGCCAGCGCACTGGATGATCCGTCAGCCAATCCAGGGCTGGGGGATTTCCGCTTCTTATTGACGGACGCCAATGACCTGCCATCCTGCTCGCTGAGACTGAGGTCTCCAGAAAACGTGTCTCTCACTCTTTTCGAGCCTCTTCTAGCCGGACTTCCGGGCTCGACCACTGGCGCGGATGTTTCCTTCTTCTTTTTCTCCAAAATCATCAATCTCTCCTGTGCTTCATCCCTAATGGCCCGCTCGACATCCGGAAAGCGGGGGAGGATTTGTCGGAAATCCTCCTTGGTCAGTACGACCAGCAAGCATCTCGTGCGGGCGACAATGGTCGCCGTCCGTGGGCGATCCATCAACACGCCAATCTCACCGAAGAATGCACCTGCTTCGAGCTCGGCATACACGCTCTCGCCATCGCGAGAAGTCACCGAGACCGCACCGCGGACCAACCAGTAGATAGCCTTGGCTTCGTCGCCTTCTGTCAGGATGTAGTCATTGGCTTGCTGGAGCTGGGGGCGGAGATGCTGGCCGACATCGATCAGGAACGATTCTGGGGTGGATTGAAAGAGAGGAAAGGAGCGCAATCGGTCGATGAGGTCTAGCGGCAAAGCTCGGATGTTGGACGAGGTCAATGGCGACGGACGTACAGGACGATTGGGGTTAATCACCGAGTCGAACGAATGTAGCAGGGATGCGGTTTCGGAGATAGGAGTGACGGCTTTAGTCGAACCTCCGCTGGCCCTTCCATGGCGGCGCATTGTGAAACGGTTGAGGGAGGTTCCAGGGAGCTTGGGAAAGATACAAAGGGGTTTAGAAAGAAGATTCGATGGGGGAGCATATAGTTTAATTCGGCCCCAAAGCGATCAATGAACCGATGACGTCGACGAAAAAGGGAATCACGGGGGGAGCTTTTTTTTTTTTCAGAGAGACATCGTTCGGGAACCACGGTGCGGGGGAGGAAGACAAAAGATTCGGGACAGAACAATCAGTTTCAAGCCGTCAAGAGCTCACAGTGGGAAGAAGAGCGACAATTAATTCAGGTTGTTAGGAGAGCAAGTCGGGAGAAGTGAAGCAAAAATGTAGTGATGAGCTAGAGTGGTGGAAAATAGTCCTGAAGAAGGACTACAGAGCATAATGGATGGAGGGGAGTGGAGGGGACGGAAGAGGGGAGAGAGGGGAGTTGAAAGAGTGGTTGAAGAAGCAAGTCGGGTTTAGTTTAATAATAATAATAATAATAATTAGTTCGTAGATAGTTTAGTTTAGTAGTTTAGTCTACTTCAGTTGTGAGTCGGCGGAGCAGAAGGAACAGAAGGAGCAGCAAGAGTAGCAACAGCTTCCCACCGTAGGTACTAAGCCTAGGAGTCTAGGACTATTCAAGACTCTAGGACTGACTCTAGGGAAGACTAGACACTGCAGTAGGTCCAGCAGCAAGCAGCAGCAAGCAGCAGCAGGTAGCTTAGAGAGGCTAGTCCAACAAGCAGCAACATGAAAGCGGGGATCACCAACGTCAAATTCTTTGGTTGAGGCTCCACCGCCGCCGCAAATGGTCAGTGAGTCTGGGACCCGACGGAGACTGCTGGACACAAGTCGGAGAGTCTGGGACTCTGTTCTTTCTTTCAGGTTTCTCTCCGCCACTTAAGGTTCCACACTGTCGGTACAATCAATGCAACCAATAATCCCCCCCCGTCCCATCCCTCCCCCCAATTCTACTGTACAGTAGAGTATGGTCAAGCAAGCCATCCACCATCTTGTCGACTCTTAAGCAATTTGCCTAGAGTAAGCAGGTGCGGAGTTGTGTTCATGTGGTGAAACATGTGGCCTATCTTTCTGGAACAGTCGGGACTTCTTCTTATCCACTGCCGCTGCTGGCGGCAGCATTAACACAATCAATAAATCATGGTGACGGTAAGCAATCATTTGATAAAGCGGAGACCATTACCCGTTGCTCTCGTCACTTCGTTTCTGCATGCTCTTCGCTTCTCTATCTTTGATGTCTCATCAATTTGGCACCTACATTTTCCCTACAATCGAGTAGATCTGACTAAATTTTGTTAATTCATTATGCTGCAAGTAGATCTCAAGTCCTCTCATCATCAACGGCCACCTGCAGGTAGCGATCAATAAGCTGAGAGCACGACCTCTTACTCAGAGAGGCAACACCACTTGTTTGACCTGTTTGTTTGCCGCTTTATGTCACGGATTGGGGACCGCTTTTTGCAGGCAGCTCATCCTGATGCCATTCATGGTATGAGTATGAACAGTGAGCATCAGAGCGCGATTTACAAAAAAGCTCCCAGAGGCTGCATGAGGCATAGTTAGGTTTGTTTGTTGCTGTGTCGCTGGATCGTTGGATTGTTACACTTCACCAATGTCCATTCCCACGTACTGTACCCCTCGTAGCCAAGTCACCTGCATTGCTGAACTAAAATGCCACCTGACAACCTTATCCCCTGCAGCGGGAATTATGCACCACCCTAGGCTGATCAATTTCTGGTACTCAAGCTCTGATTCCAACCCAGCGTTGATGCAGACTCACTTGGATTCAGTTCACACAAACTGGTGCATGCGCATGTGTATGTGTCAACAACAGAGCATAAGTTACTGTGGCACTTAACTAAGATCTCCATTGCTGACGTGACTAAACGGGTCAGATGATGCCTCATGCACAGTGGTTCAGCCAACAGTCCTAAAAGATGATACGCAGAGGACTGACGCTTCTGCTTGCTGCGATGGGAACCAACGCCAATTCAAAAGGCTCAAGTATGCTTTAACCTCGAGCTGCCTGTTCAGATTTCTAATACAAAGCCGGGGGAGTGGAATTCACAAACGAGCTAGCACTTCCACTTCTAGATAGAGCCAACACGGTCATGATAATAAATACAAACTATATGACAAGTGAAGCCGAGTATTTAGCACTCAGTTTCAGCTATTACCTGAATCAATGCATAGGGGGCTTGCCGCCCGCTCTCTCGAGGCATAAGATCGCTTCGCCCTCGTCAATATATAACAATGATTCTGATAGCATCCGTGTCATCAATGGTAGCTCCATCAAGGAACATCATTAACGTACACAGAGTTTGCTTCCCCCGAGAATAGACCCAAAAGAGATTCACTGGTGCTTGCTTCCAGACAAATCCTCAATTTCACCATGCATAGTAAGGAGTGGTCGAGAAAAGCTATCTGGAGGCTCCGTCTCCGGGCCATAGCTGAAGTCTGACATGATGCGGCAAATCATGGAACTGTCCTCCGAGTTTTGACAATCCACCGCCTCTTCATTATTCGCATTCGTAGGGTCGCGCCGTGGCACCTACCGGAGCGGGAAGTGTCCTTGCTGTGCTAGGCAAGGCAGTAGGTTTGAATATATATCCAAAGAGTCTGGGCCCGTGGCTCTGATGCCGAGCTTTCGTATCGGAAAGAAGGATTGCGTGATCTTCAATGACATCACTCGGCCTTCGATTGAGGTTTGCCCATAATGAACTTGACATACGCGGGCGGGTTGCCCTTCAAGTATGCAAGGCTGTCTTGAAGCAGTCCGTATGTCAGGCCTAATTTCAGACCAAGTTTGGCGGTGCGGGCTGCAGTGTAGACATCATGTCGGGCTAGAAAGACAGGAATGAATTAGCTGGTAATCTCAAGAACGCCGACGAGATTCAGTAACAGACCTAAGAGGCTGTAGATGCCCGAGAATGACAGGCCTGCTACAACCGTTGACAGAAAGTCCCGTTGGCCGTGTCGGGCATTGTCCACGATATCCTCAAAGACGGTGAAGACCATAGCACTGCCGCCTAGCCTGGCTCCCATTCTAAATCCCTCTCGCATGCCTGCGACGGTAGCAACATATCTCCGAGTCTTGTGGTACTGCCACCACGCCATTGAAGTCAATGGCTGTCGATGAGCGTTCTCCGCGCGGAAACGATAGGCCGACGTGGTGTTGCCTTTGGAAAATCCGAGACACAAGCCTACGCCGAAGGCAGTAGCACCTGTGGCCATCATGCGCCTTCCAATACTTACTCCTAGTCTTTGATATGGATCAACACTAAGGAGCTCCTCCTTCATGGTAGCGTAGGACAAGGACTCGGGCGCGTCTGATGGTTGCTCGACATCCATGCTGAATAAAAGATAAAAGTGACCCGTTGGATTCAAACTGATTGCGATCCAAGTCAACGATAGACAAGGCCTGGTATGATTCTGTCGATTTGGTGTGCAGTGGGGTGGGAGAGAGTGTCGCTGTCTCTGAACGTGGGTTTTGATGTGAGGTGAAATTGAAGTGCCGAACTCAACTTTGGGCGGCTCGCCGAGCTCCGAACTCCAAAGGCTCCGCAGTCCCGCCAAAGCTCAGCCATCAACTTCAAAAGCACTAAATCAAACACCATGGTAGGTACTGCCTCGCGCTGATCTCTGAACATATTGAACCACTCTGATTCATCTATCTACAGCCTCAGCCCGATCCTCTCAGCTGGACTTTGTTGTTCAAAAAGCACAGAACGACCGTGCTTCTGATGCTTCCTGCATCCGAAACGGTCGCCGCAACCAAAAATGCATTGCTTCGGGCCCTTCAAGCGCGGGGCCTGAGAGATATAAATGGAGATATCGTTCCGGGGGACGCTTCTGAGATTGAGCTTGGAGTTCCGGTAGACAAGAACGACCTGGAAAAGGGCTGGACGAAGCTTGAGGTTGACCCCGCCGACTTCGATGTTGCTGATGCGCCCAAACGAGGAGCCGGGAAGAAGGCAGCCGGTTCGCTCACCTTACTAGCTGCTGATATTAAGAATGGACAAGCAATCGCATTCAGGTTCCGGAAGACTACGCCCGACGATTCTGAGAAGAACGACGAGTTGGCCGAGCTAGATCTAGAAGATCCAGGATGGGATGTTGTCCTCCCTAGCTTCGAAGACGAAGACGAAGACGTCCAGAACTGAGTGCTACCCTCAACCGGAAATAATGAAATGAATGACATCAGGCCCTTCTGTTAGCCGCGATTGAGATCCAATATACCACACAGGTTGCTACAAGGACAAGCGAGCCATGACCCGAACCATGTTGACGGTCTTGTGACCTTAACTTGAATGCGATCTCTGGCCAACAAGAGTACTCTTTGGCTTGCATCTACGTTCTGTGGAAGCGCGATACGATGAGCTATCTATGCTCTTGAGTTACCCTGGCGCTTGGCTCATATCGTTTTATAGCAGACGGCTCTAATAAGCTTCCGTGAATATCACTTTAATAAGATTCTTAGTGTACAACCATATGCTTGTTTCTTACCTCATTCCCTGGTTGTAGTATGATTCACTCCATCCCATGTTGATAGAGGAGTCTCCCACCTATTGGGGAATACTTCCTACGACCTTAGGACTGTATACTCGCCCGTCAGATGGTCCCCATTCAATACCTGGCTCTGGCATGCAACTGCTATCAGCTCATAGCTCAGATCCGTAGTAAAATGTAGACGAGGATTCCGACATAATAATCTCAACTGATCATGTAGATACCCGTCTCTAGCCGTTGCATTGAAGGTGGAGAAGATGGAACAAAAGTGCGTGGTAATAGTCACCACCTGGACGTGCTCTTTTAATGGCTGTCGGCTAGGATATGTGAGGCGGTGTGAGAGCCCCGCAGGGACACGGCAAGCCTACTTTATCCACACGTCCCCCGGTTGCTAGGAGCAACAAGGCGGTGGAAAACACGTCAATGTCAACAGATTGGCTGAAGGTCGAACTAGTGCCAATGTCACTCAACAGGGGAGACTTTCTGGGGCCGTCTTGATCAATAGGTCCACACTCAACATTCCTCACTTCCACGTTCTGTGCACCTAATTTTTCATCTCCTCGTTGTTCTTCCTTCTTCGTTTGCCTTGTTGACGGTACAGGGCGTCGCTCCCCTGGATAGCCGACCTCCGCGTTGAATTACCTAGAGGGACGTGACGCCTCTGCGGTGATAGTTGATTGCATTATTTCAATATGGCCGACGCTTCTTCCATTACTGTCGCGGTCCGGGTAAGGCCGTTCACAATTAGAGAAGCAGCGCAACTCTCGAAATGTGAAGACGGCCCATTGTTCCTTGGTGACGGGTCACTGGCGGCAGCGCCGACACCCAAGCTCAACCAGAAGGGTCTTCGATCTATCATCAAGGTCATTGATGATCGATGCCTGTAAGTAGCACAACTTACCATGCGTGGCCAGTGTTCATGGGATGACTGATCTCTGTTTCGATTAGTGTTTTCGATCCCCCAGAAGACAATCCTGTCCAAAAGTTTTCAAAAAGCGTCGTACCAAACGGAAAACGCGTCAAGGACCAGACCTTCGCTTTCGATCGAATCTTTGACCAAAATGCCTCTCAAGGTGAGGTATATGAATCGACAACGCGCGGCCTCCTCGACAGCGTACTAGATGGGTACAATGCTACTGTGTTCGCTTATGGTGCTACGGGCTGTGGAAAGACCCATACAATTACTGGAACCGCCCAGCAACCGGGCATCATTTTCATGACGATGCAGGAGCTCTTTGAGCGTATCGATGAACGATCAGACGAAAAAGCAACCGAGATCTCGCTCTCCTATCTCGAAATCTACAATGAGACAATCCGTGATTTGCTGGTGCCTGGAGGTAGTAAAGGAGGTCTGATGCTTCGGGAGGATTCCAACCATTCCGTTTCGGTGGCTGGCTTGTCGAGCCACCATCCGCAAAATGTCCAGCAAGTGATGGACATGATCATGAGGGGCAACGAATGCCGCACCATGTCGCCTACGGAGGCCAACGCTACGTCTTCGCGCTCGCATGCGGTTCTCCAGATCAATATTGCACAAAAGGATCGGAATGCAGATGTGAACGAGCCCCATACAATGGCCACATTGAGTATCATTGATCTTGCAGGTAGCGAGCGTGCCAGCGCTACAAAGAACAGAGGAGAACGACTTTTCGAAGGCGCAAATATCAACAAATCCCTTCTTGCCCTCGGAAGCTGCATCAACGCGCTGTGCGATCCCCGAAAGCGAAACCATATCCCTTACCGAAACTCGAAACTTACCCGGCTTCTGAAGTTCGCGCTAGGCGGTAACTGCAAGACGGTGATGATCGTCTGCGTTAGCCCATCAAGCCAGCATTTCGATGAGACCCAGAATACTTTACGCTATGCTAATAGAGCGAAGAACATACAAACGAAAGTTACGCGAAATGTCTTCAATGTTAACCGCCACGTCAAGGACTTCCTGGTGAAGATCGATGAACAGATGGCGTTGATTAATGAGTTGAAGGCTCAGCAAAAGAACTACGAGAAGGTTGCGTTTGCCAAGTTCAGGAAGCAAACCGAGAAGAAGGACGCTGTCATGCGAGAAGGAATTGCTCGTATCCGCAACGCTTACGAACACTCACTGCCAGAAAGGCAGGAAAGGACCAGCAACATGATCAAATTGAGACATATTAGCCGCCGGATCGGACTGCTCTCATCTTGGATCGCTGCATTCGATCATGTTTGTGCATCCTCCGAGTCTGAACAACCACTATCCAATCTCAGAGCCATTCGCAAGACAGCACAAGGAATCTTTCTCGAATTGGAGAGTAGCAGGCAACACTACCATCAACGGTTAGCAAGGTCCACGTGGGACCGCAGCTTGGTTAGTGCTGTCGAGCATGCCGCTCGTCAGCTCCAAGAATTCAACTTCAATGACAATAGCGACGTCGACAATATCCATCGTGAAGCGGAGTTATTGCGAGCTAATACGGAGCGCGAGGCTCTCTCCGCGGTTGCTGAACAAGACAAAGCTGGGGACGCAGCCGCCGTGCAAATGCTGCTTCAGGCTCAATTCGAAACGATCTCTGAGATTGAAAATATCATGGAGATGAGCGAGGAAGAGGCTGTCGAGACAGGTAGAAAGATTCTTGCCAAAATGCTTGGTTCCTGCTCTACTTTGACATCTAGCCTGGTCAAGCCTGACGGTAGTGTTCCGTCTCTCTTACCAGCCAGTCCCATTAAGCCTATGAGCTCTCCCAAGCAAAAGAAGAGAGTTAGTCTAGCCGCCGCACCGCCCATCGGTCGACTCTCATATGCACCTGTGGTCTTGACCCCAGCAGCACCACCTTCCCCTACCAAAGGTTCTCCTAGACGCCGCAAGCTGAACGTGGGAAGGAAGAGCGTCAGCTTTTCGCCCAAGAAAGCCCAGCCGAAGCCGATCATCAAAAGAAGTGTGCGGTGGAGAGATGACGAGGAAGATGGTGCATTGACGGAAGTCCAGAAGACCCCTCAGAAGCCGGGATTGGCACCAGTACCCGAAGCCAGCCCTGGCGAACCCCCATTGCCTCGAGCATCTCCTATTCCGCGCGGAATTCCAGTGCCCACCCGCAACTTCAGCCCGTCAAGCGCCTCGTCCCCAATCTCGGCTGTACCAGAACCCACGTTGAACATCCAGAAGAACAGCAACCGCTTCAAAACTGGGTTCCTGTCGAAAAAGCCCGGTAGTTCGCCAATGGGACCACCTCCCACGTCCACACTTCCCCTGTCCGACAATGAAGCCTCTCCCCTTCGGGACATTGAGAACAGCAGCTTTTTAAACCGTTCATCAGTCGAGCGCCCCTCAAGAATTGCTGTTCGCACGCCAAGTGGAAGCTACTCCGGCAGCCCTGCATCAGACACTAAGAGTGCAGCAAGCTGGAAAGCAAGCAAAGATGACGCTATCAAGATAACGTCTGCAATGAGGCGCATCTCCGGAGGCTCGTTCGGAATCGGACCCTCGGCTAACGCACTCCGCGTTCACCGTCGCCGAAGCCCAACAGCTGTAACTTATGGCAGTTCTCCCACAGAGAATACCATGTTCACAGCTTCACAGGCAAGACGGATGGTTAAAAGCGAGAAAGAGGATACCAAACCTCGTGTCTTGAGTCCTCGTGCTCTTCCAATCATGAAGAATACACAACGCCGGAGCACATTGGGTGGAGACATTCGCCCGCGGGATATCAGTCTTACCAGTCGTGATGCCATAAGGCTCAGCATGGTGGCAGCCCCTTCCCTGGAGAGACCTCCAGAACATGTCTACCCCGGCAATGGATTTGGTATGAGGTAGATGAATTGCATGTGAAATTGTTTGGTGTCATTGCATTGGTGATTTGGGTTGCTGGTACGGTGTTTGGGAATAGATACCATTTGCTTTCTTCCATCCTTGAAATTAAGACCGCACAATCCGCGACTCGGTACAAACTTTATATCATACTTCTTTTCAGCTTGAAGGGGCCTGGGTTCCATCCAGGGCTTGGACAAACATCGTCGGTCATCTTCTGACTTCACTGTTGATGGTTACATGCTTTCATTTTCTTTTCCCGCGAGTGGTATATTGCTCGGGATATGTACAATAACAGCTTGCTGCAAGTTTTTCGTGGCTAATACGCTCCTACAAGAGGCCGTCAATCAAGCCCACTACCAAGAAAGATGATCATAATCACTCCATTAAGTGCACAGATCGTATCATAGACAAGTTAGAGATGATTAAGTCGTACGCATGTGGCCACCAATCTTATGTCATGCGCGGAATGACGCCACCAGAATTGGAGTATGACAAATTCACAATGGCGAGTTCCCGAGACCACATGGTGAGTAAGAGAGAGGGCGTACTTTGCTTTGTACAATTAAAACATTCCAGACTCTTATTCCGCTGCAACTGTGTTCAAATTCTCTCCACTACTTGCTTGTCCTCTCTAGTTGACAAGAAAACCAATCTCGGATTTGGAGAAGGGATTTGTCAGGCGCCCCTCTCCGGCGGAAACCAAAACCTCTCATGTGGAGCAGGAAGCGCAATCGCATAAATAATTATTGATGGCCTTTGCGGCGCCCGCTTTTGGCTCGACTTTTTTCTCTCGAATTGCCCGTCAATTCTCGACCAGCTCACCTTTCCTGGCCTTAACCACTCCGTCCACCTCGCGCACCATGTCGACCAACACGCAGACCGCCACGGTAGCCGCCGGATGTTTCTGGGGTGTGGAGCACCTCTTCCGCAAACACTTCGGCAATGGAAAAGGTGTTTTGGAGGCCAAGGTCGGCTACTCCGGCGGACACAGCGCGAATCCTTCTTATCGTGCTGTGTGCACGGGGGAGACTGGTCGTAAGTGAACTCTTCGAGCCGAAACGGGTGTTGTAGGCTTTCTTGAGTCGCACGGAAATTGACCTTTGGTTTACTTTGCAGACGCCGAGGCATTGCAGATGACGTTCGATCCCTCGATTGTCAGCTACCGCGCCCTTCTAGAATTCTTCTACCGCATGCACGACCCCACAACTCTAAACCGTCAGGGCGGCGACATTGGCACGCAGTACCGCAGCGTGATCTTCACGCATGGCGAGGAACAGGATCAGATTGCTCGTGAGGTCACGGAGAAGGTCTCTCAGGAATGGTACAAGCAGCCGGTCTCGACCGCAATCGTGGGCGCGGGCCAGTGGTGGGATGCGGAGGATTACCACCAGCTGTACTTGACCAAGAACCCTGATGGTTATGAGTGCCCTGCTCAGTATGTGGAACTCTTCCCCTTGCGCCACGAGAGTACTTTGCTAATCGATCGTCCTCATTTGCTAGCTTCGTGAGGTCGTTCCCTCCGCTTTCTGCTTGACTCGCGTGTAAGATTTGAGATATGAGATATGTTGCCATGCCCAGTCGTATGAGATAAGTACTGTCAGTTCAGCTGCGCTCAATTGAAAAGGAACCTGTGGTTCGTTTGTCATTCTTTGGGAAGGAGGTACCCGTGCCTAGCTGCTACCTTTAGGCTTTAGTTATGCTGTTAATGTCCCCGTCGAGACGGACTGGTGGTCAGCTACTCAGCTTGCGAACAATAGTAGAGTACTGGAAGATGCTCGTGATGCACGGTGAACCCTGTAGAGAGAAGCTTTGATCTGGGTTGTCTGTAGCACACTGATGACAATGCCGCTGAGTGCGATTTCAGCCTGTCTCCAGCTTCAAAAAGGCATATCGTGCCCGGGCAAGGTAGACATACTGTAAAACAGGCTGGTTCTTATCCTTACTCTTCTGAGAAGAGCTTGCCTTGGCAATATACCCTTCAAGCTGGCGCACCTTCACTTGTTCATTCGTGTTGTCTTCGTCTATCAGCTATATGGTTCAAAGCTGCTCTCACATTTCCTATGTTAACCTGAAGAGCGCGTCGGAATAGAGCAATATAAGGCTGTCCTGTACCATAGGTTCGATGTCCGAACAAGGCAAGTCTGATCAAAAGAGTCTCCGATGTACCCAAGAAGTCCAACTGTAAACGGTCCATGAGAGTCCGTAGAGCTCCGCTGTAGAGATCAGTGAATAGTCCGGAATATTCCTCTGGTTGTGAGGTATTCACTGCGCGCGTACTCCCTCCATATCAAGAGCCAGCCTGTTTCCCTCCCTCTCCCTCCTCTCTCACCTCTCCCTTTCCTCTCACTTCCCTCTTTCACTTCCTTCTCTTCCCTTCTTCTTCTTCTCTTTCTTTCTCTGCCTCCTCTGCCTCCTCTGCCTCCTCTTCCTTCATCTCTCTCTTCATCTCTCTCTTTCTCTCTTCCTTCCCCACCTCACCCTCACCCACCCTTCCTCTTCCTCTTCATCCCCTGTTTTGAATATCTTCCTCATATCTAAAAATCCTCAGTTCCTGCATCGCCCTCAGGGACGTGTTCGCTTTCTGTTTGTTATCTTTCCTGATAAAGTACATCTGCCCAGACTGTCGGGGTTTCTCTAGACGGCAGCCAGTGTACATCACACCAGTCCGCTGACACCCACCTTCCTGCCAAATCCTCTTGTGTGGGTGTCCTGGACTCACTCCGGTCTGGAGCTTGGATTGGACTCATCGTCCATCTTTGCCTTTGGCTCTTCGGCTTCTTATTTCTATACGTCGACGTCTTCGTCGTTCTGAATACCCTCGGGAAATACTTTCGTATCTCTTATCTGAGGATTTGACAATCTGAGACCACTTGAATAAAGTCTCAAGCCGACTTCCCAAGGTATGTCATATCGATTCCACGCGACTGACGCGTACTGCCGCTGATCTAAGTTAACACGCATGGGCTTCGGTGTTAGGATACATCTCCTGCTCATATACTCCTATTACCCGCATCTGTTACCTTTAGTAACGTGCACACGTGTGCTGTACGTCAGACAACATGTCATACGCTGTCAACACAGTTGATGCTGCGATGGCCGAGGCCCTTAGACATCTGAGCCAGATATCTACCTATGTGTGTGCATCGATGATGAAATCCTTGTTGGTGAAGCAAATCACTAACCTCGTCAGTTTCGTGATCGCCAAAACAACGCTGATGTCGCCAACGATATTGGAAGACTGAGCACCATGATCGTCATCAGATTCTCTGAAGGCATCATGAATGTCCCAGCCACGGAATTTCTTCTGGTACCGCAGGCAAGAACGCTCACTATTGTTGAGATTATAGCTGCAGCAACGCTAATTGAAGTAGACCGGTGATAACAATCAGAATGACGTCGAGGGTCAAGCTGTTGACAACCCATCTCAGCCCACAGCGGCCTCCTCATCGCTTAACGAGGCTCAGCAGGAGAATCACCGCAGCCTTGTCTTGCAGCAGGCGTCGATGCGTGACAGGCAGCTTCTTCCGAATGGCAATTGGGCTCGAGTGGTTGGCACAGTGCCCGAGGCTTCCACTCAGGCCCAGGCCCAGGAGCTAGTGCAGTATATGTCACCCGCGTCCTTGACTTCGAGTGCTCTGTCTAGACAGAGCCAGAATAGTGAAGAAGAGGCCGAGTGCCGAGAGTTGGGCAATGCTTCACTCAGTCTCAATCCACACATTATGCCAAACCCAACTGAGGCCAAGGCCGGAGTAATCCGCATCTATGGCAAGACTGCCAGAGAGCATACTTCCTTTATTACCACTCGCATCCACGAGGGTGCGCTGCTCGAGGTTCGCGTCGAGGCCGACGATAGAACTCGCGTGACCTTCCAGCTTGCAAGCGCGGCTGTCGAGTTTCTGAAGTCCAACCGCGAGATGCAACAGCTGCTGGGTTACGGTCGTTTCGGCACCGGTTATCACGTTGAGCTGGCGGAGATTGTGGACTGGAATGATGACCTCCGCCGCATGAACCAGCCGATCCGTGAGCGTCGTCGCCTCTCTTTCGCCAGAAAGAGACTTTTTGCGGAGGGAATGACTCCTGACAAGTGGAAGCATGATATTCGCCAGCTGGCGGGGCCTGGCGCTATCGACTTTCTTTGGGTTTTCAATTCTGGTAACGGTAAGTGAGCAAGCTCGTACACGTTCTTCACCCGCTGACTGGCTTGTAGCTACCGCTGTTTTCAACAGCACCATTGTCGCTCGCCGCGTGCTAGAGACATTCGAGAATTGGAAAAACGGCCGCAACGTTTACAGTGGTGTCTCTGTGACCTACTCTTCTGATCCCTGTGAGAAGGAGCTCGCCTTAGTTCGCGAGAGCCGTGCCAACTTGGGCAGAGGCTATGTGAAGCGGGTCATCCGCTGACTGAACATGTCCTTCATCTGAGTGAAATTATCCCATCTAGGTGGTGATTGAACCTGGAGGACAAAAAACATCATCTGTTCGATATGGATTTACAACATGCGGTGCGAGAATCTTAGGGTTAAGCACGAAAAAGAAAGGACTTAAAAAAGAAAAGAAAAAAAAAAAGGAAACAGACTTACAGTGCAGAACAGGAATCTGAACCGTTTGCTAGTTGAAAGTCTTGTATGGAATGTTTGTCCGGATGCTGGAACAACGTGGCCACCTGGTGCGCGCACGCACGATCCGGTCCGGGTTGCAATCCCAGGATATCGACAGGCGCACGAGCAGTGGTGGGATTATTCCTTTTTCTTACAGGGGTATCCGATCACTGCATGTTTGGATCCTCGCTCCTGGACGTGTTGCTTGTGCCAAATTGTCTTTTACTTACATTTACATCTACGATAGTACAATATCCCTTCATGGAGGTTGTTACTTGAAATGTACGAAACACAATGTAGCAAACCTTGGTCTTCAGGGTCTGTCAAAGTAGGCAAGTAGGCGAGTACCTGTAGATAGAAGCAGTAAAGTTGCTCGCGAGTATTCTGTATTCGGGAATGAAGTTGTCGTTCAAAGGCAGGCAATTGAGTTATTGCTACTGTAAATTTGCAGATGTACTTACTAACAAACGCCTTGTCCCGATACTGTACGCACGCGCAAATAGAATCTGAGAAATTGAGATAAACATCGCCCAGGAACCTAAATTCTCTAGAGCTATCCTAACAAAGGTCCTTCCTATCAGCCTATCTTGTTTAACCCACATATCCCAACCTTTATTGACCTTTTCAACTGGAGTAGTGGACGGTACTCATGTAGTATCGATCAACGGGAGTTGCAGTACCCAAGCGGATGGCTGCTCTGTTTGGTGGAGGGAACAATGGCAAAGCACAGATCGACATTACCCGATAATCCTACTGCGTGACCCTCCCCTCCCTCTTATGCATTCATATCGGTCGATCCCCCTTGCTTCCCTTGCTTATCAACATCATCATAAAGAAGAACACAAGCAAGAACAAGATGATTGTTTGGCGGTGGGTGGGTTGGGGTAACTTATACTGTAGAGGTGTAAACTTTGTATAGTTTATGGCTGGGTATATATAGACTTGCAGTCCAAGTGTACCGTGTATAAGAATGTGACGGTGTTTCCTCCCAGCCGGCGCTGGATACGCCTCTCTTCTAGATCAGAAATAAGTTAAATAGTTTGTGTGTGACTGCAGAGGACAGTATATGGAAGAGACAATTGATGACTGGTTAAAGTCAGTGTTATACAAAAGCATCGCGTGTTGGCTGTAGGCAGAAACTGAACAGAAGAAACACAGAAGTTATCCGGTGCACGACAGTAGATCGACCAGAAAATGTATAAGCCAAGAATATCCAAGGCTGATATTCCCCTGAGCACAGCTACCGGTAAACCATCGATATGGGGCTTCATTTGTATTTTTTTGTTTACGGGGCCGAGAGTTCGCCAAGGAATCACGAGAGAGATATGAACCCACACCCCTCCAGGTGGTTTTTCTGAACCCCTGCATTTAGTGCATCTAATCTGCAAAGCATTTACTGAGTCAAAAAAGGGGGAGGGGATTGGGGCCTGCGATTGGTAGCTTGGGGGATGGCGGTTCTGGCGAATAAGGTTCAGTAGATGGAATACTTACTGAACACTGCAGGAGAACGGGTCTTATCATAATACCGTTCATGGAGTAGAGGCTGGATGGATGTTTGACTGTTTTCTTTCGAGAAGGGTTCTTCTACATCCGACAGACAACAGACGATTTTGACAAGTGATATGTGGATGGCGGACGGTGGATCGGGAATTTTTGTAGAATTGATTGGTGATTAATTGCTTTGGCTTGGGGGTGGTTTCGGTTTGATTGGGGGATCAATTGATCAAATAATGAACGGCGGGGACTGAGAGAGAACAAAAAAAAAAAAAAAAAAAAAGAAACCGTTGGACGTTTGTGACATGGAATTGTGCGGTTATTGCTGGGTTGTAGGATGGTTGTTTCAGATGTTTGGGGGCTCAAGTCTTTCTTAGACTCATTAATTGTACTCCGTGCCGACCTTAGCAATTGGAATGAAAGTCTTCTTTGTGGTCTTCTACTCTTTGTGATCCTTGAGAATTGTCCGTCGGTCTTGCAGGACATACATTCCATGGCTGACGGGGCGACGGACGAGAGATCCTAAAAATAATCCCCTATCTAAAAACACAAAGAACCCAAGAAACCCAAGAACCGTGGAAAGGACCGGAAAGAAGTTGTGACTTTCCCAGACTAGCTAAAAATGAGTAATCTTGTCTGCCTACCGTAACCTATGGTCTATCGGTAAGAAAGAGAAGGTAGAATCCACTTTGGTGTTTTCTTGACTTGGAATAATAATCAAACCGGAGTGACGAAGGATCAGTGTTGATTAGTGAGGGAGAAAACAAAACACAAGACTGGGTGTATTGTGGTTGCTTTGCCTCTCCTTCCCCCCTTACTAGAGATAAGGGCCGGGCGGAGCAAGCGGCAAGGTCGTCGTCGATCGGGGGAGGGACAGATGGGGTCCAAGGGACCCGAAGTTGTAAGTAGGTTAGTGACTGAGGTAATTGGAATGTGCGCGTGGAACGGTCAATGTGAGGGAGGGTGAGTGTTCGACATCACCGTGGGCGTCAACCTCACCACGCAACCGGTCAATTTGTTTCCGATGAAGCGGTAACCCGGACCGAACGCCATTTGAGATCTGGACTTTCTGATCTAAAATGTGGTTGTGTAGGCAAAGTAGCTAATAGGGCATGACATGATGTCAGGTTAGCTTCAAATCTAACCTACCGTTCACAACAAACCCTCTGAGTGTTGTCGCCTATCTCGCAGTGCTTTGGGGCACATGTCAGGTGAGAATGGGAGCAAGAGGTGGGTGGGTCAGTCCGAGAGCAGGGCTCACAGCGCGTGGGTACCTGAACTGTGAGCGAGTCTAAGACATTACTTTGTGGGCGTTCAAACCATTGATGACCGGGCTTGAACCAGGATCGGAGGTTCTCCAATTTGGTTCATTTTGGCTCAATAGGGGAACAACGAAGGCATTTGATTGGGTTTAGGTTTGAGAGTGGCGCAAGTTGACAGTTCGAATTATGGGTAGCCCGGACGCAGAGAAGAGGGAGGAATACTAGACGAGGTAGGATCAAGCGACTTGATGGCGTCGCGAGGCAAATGCTATGTAGTAATAATGAGCCAGTCACCGGTCCGTTCAGTTCAAGCGGAGATAAGAGAGTCAAAAGCAGCGAGGGATGGAGAGGGGGGACCGACCCCGAAAGGGACTAGTAGTGGAGAATTATCCCTCGGAGGCCGAGGGGAAAAGATGAAAGAGAGCCCTGAGCCGAGCGAAAGAGGGTCCTGGGGAAATTCAGGGAAAATTACAGAGTACAGTACAGAACGATTCAGGGCCTAAGGCATTCGCACCTCGTGGCCCAGTCAACCAGCATACCACGCTTTGAATGGTTTTATGCTGCCGTCACCACCTCTTCGGAGGATTCATTCAGTCATCCATTCTTCAAAGACAAGCAGGGGGGTTACCCAGGGAGATCATTACGTATTGCTCTGTCAAGGATGTCGCTGGACTCTTGGGGTCTTGGACTCTTGGAGGATGTACTGTACTGACTGACTACTGAGGAGTTGACCAAGGTTACTGAGCCACTAGCTCGGCAACTAGCGTGGCCATGCAGTGTTAACGCATCCAGCAAATCAATTAGCCTTTGCTCATGTACACACGGTACGAGACTACGAGTACTTCCTTCCACATCCACTTCCTATATATGATCTCTCCCTCCCTCTTTCCCCCATTCGGGAGGTAAGCCTCGTGGTACACTTCGTTCGCTCTTCGCGGTTTCTCTTCGCCTTTCGACTTCCTCCTGTTCCTCTTCTCTCTCTCTCTCTCTCTCTCTCTCTCTCTCTCTCTTTCTCTCTTTTCCCTTCGTCTAACTCATTCACTCGCTTTCGACAACTACTACTACGACTACGACTACTACTATCGCTCACATCCTGACCCTCTATCTACTATCCCACTAGTGGCAGCTCACTCCCGAATCGTCCCGTGATCCCTCATTTATTGGCGCATTCGTTGCTTGGTCTTGGTCGAAACCGGTCGTTAATAATATACTGTATTTTTAAAAGGGAACTGTGGGGATTTTGGGTAAGTTCCTTGTTGCTTTCCGTGGCTCAGGAACCCGCTCTGCATCAGACGATCCATCAATGAACGATAAGACATGTGGTTCCCGTCCCGGGCACAACAGTTTGGCTAATATATTGCCTTGCCCTCCGCGCTCCCCAGATCTGCAGTGATTCTCGATTCCAATTCTTCTTCCACTCTCTGTCTTCGATTCACCCTTACTTGTTGGCCGCCTTTTGGTCTCACGAAGCTAGGACTCGTTGATTCTCGCCAATATGCACATCGTATCCTCCCTATTCTTGGCCTCGTTGGCCGCCACATCCGCCTTGGCTTCCGCTCCGACATGCAGCACCAGCTCGCAATGTCCTGAGGAGTACCCCTGCTGTTCGCGTAAGTGATTCTGATCAATCTCCGGCCCTCACAAGTCGTTGCTGACCGTCTTAACCAGAGTACGGTGAATGTGGTACCGGCGCCTACTGCCTGGGTGGATGCGATCCGCTTTCGTCTTACTCCCTCGACTCCTGCGTTTCCGAGCCCGTGTGTCAGAGTAGAACCTACACGTGGGACAACCTGGACAAATCCGCCTTGAACACCAAGTACCTCGGAAACTCTTCCGAGGCCGACTGGGTCTACAGCGGTTACCCTAAAATCGAGGACGGGAATCTTCTATTGACCATGCCCAAGAACACCGTGGGCAGTCTGTTCGCCAACAACCACTACGTCTGGTATGGAAAGATTTCTGGCAAGGTCAAGAGCAGCCGTGGTAAGGGTGTTGTCACCGCCTTCATCCTGCTGTCTGATGTCAAGGACGAGATCGACTTCGAGTTTGTCGGTTCCGACCTCGCCAATGTCCAGACCAACTACTATTGGCAGGGTGTCTTGGATTGTAAGTTGTCCCCCGTGGCCTACACGAGTCCGCTTCTGACATTCGATCTCTAGACAACAACGGAGGGAAATCCGCTGTCAACGGCAGTGATACTTTTGACGATTGGCACGAGTACGAGATTGATTGGACCGAGGATGCTATCACCTGGTCTGTGGATGGTCAGGTCACCCGCACCCTGACCAAGGAGTCCACCTACAATGCAACTTCGAAGTCCTACAAATACCCTCAGACACCTTCCCGAATGCAGCTGTCATTGTGGCCTGCAGGCCAAGCCAGCAATGCGGAGGGAACAATCCAGTGGGCTGGCGGTGAGATCGACTGGGACAGCGAGGATATCCAGGACAAGGGATACTACTACGCCACCTTCGGAGACATCACTGTTGAGTGCTACGATGCCCCAAACGGTACAGTCTCGAAAGGCGACCAGTCTTACGCGTTTGTCAACGAGGATGGACTCGAGAGCTCGGTCGTGATTACCGACAACAGCACCGTTCTTGCCTCTTTTGGCGCTACGGGCCTGGATATGGATCTCGGTAGCAGCACCACTACCAATACCACGGGCGACAACAGCACGGTCCCCGAAAACCGTGGAGGCTCGGGCAATGAGCCTGGAGCCACGAGCTCAAGCACCGGCACCGGCACCGGCACTGGCACTGGCACCAGCAGCGGTAGCTCAAGCGATTCGACGGGTTTCAGCCAGGGTACCTCAACCGACACAAGCTCCAATGGCGTCGCCTCTCCAAATGAGCGTGTTCTGAGAGGCTCCTTCTTTGCCGCATTGGTGGCAATTGTCGTTTCGGTCACTCTATAAACAAAGTCAACAACCTCCGTTTTCCCCTTCTTGGACATTCTTATTCATATATTTGCTTGACTCTTACCTGGCTCGAAATACCGTCACTCCTTTTACGACTTCAGCGTACCATTCTTACCTCTTGATGCTTTATACCTGGCGCACTGTTCGCCCTTGTCTGTTCAGACCCCCTTACTACTATTACTCTTTCCCAGTGGATGTCTTGACGTTTTTTAATGATCGCGCATCGGAGGTTGCGTTCCTGTTTTGACGTCATGAAAATGGCTTTTGAAGACCTTTACTTAATACCCTATTTTGTTTCCGTATTGGCGTGGGCATGCCGGTTGGATGCTTTTGATGTGCTGTGCCGTAGATAAGTCCCTTCAGGTCAATAAGTCACACCCTTTTTCAGCGTATTATATGCAAATAATTACACCAATCAGATTTCAAGGCGTTGGGTCGCATTGCGTATCAGTCCGTACAAGTGATTTCTGTATCCTCTGTGCGTTCTACACAACCTACCAAAGGGACGATGCCCTGTATGGGAGGTTATCATGGAGGGGGATCAAGAGAAAGACGGTTCTGCTTCATCCCAGAGCCCCAGACAGGCAGCCATAAACAGTTAGACTTACCCACGGTGACATTTCCAGTGACCCCAACTCCAGCCTCCACTTCTATCCTCCTCGACCTAAAGCCATCCTTGGCGTACACACCCACTCACCTAGGAATACCAGCCATGCCATTCCTTCCCTCCATGCATCCATTTTCCCCAGCCCATGATCTAAATAGAGATCCATGCAGCAGCCGACCTATCCTTGCATTTGAAGAACCCCAACCACGCACATCACCAAAGCTTATTCCTCAAATTCGGCACAAAAGTCCACACTGTATCGCGTTGCTTGATTCGGCTATGTGATCTTTCGATGACGGTGCCCGTGTACCGCGATCAATGAGGGTCCGTTGCCACTGATCTAGCTACTCATGATTCTGCTCGAATCGCATCGGTTTTGGTCCAGTTTCACAAACAAGGTATAACAAGGATGGATTGGATGGAGCTGAGCTCTGGGAAAGCCTACTGTAGCAGAGATAGAAGTACATGAAGGGAACCTGAAGCGGTGAGCTGGGGCGGTGGGATTGGCTACTAAGTAGTTGTAGATCGTAATGAGGTTGATTCTGATTGGTACCTTCGGACCATCACCCCCCCCCCCCCAAAAGCTGAGGGCTGCGCTGCAAAGAATTCCAGGCTCATGCTCATGCTCATGCTGTTCATGCAATATTCGATTGTAGACGACTATGTAGGAGAGATTTACCTAATTATGAAATGAGACAGACCGATTCGTCCTGGATGAATGTGGTCGTTGTGGTTATGATCGATCCCCCCGCCCGGACGCCAGAATGACCATGCAAAAGTTGTTTGTCATGACATGACGGTTAAAGTAACAAGAATGTGAGGATTATACAATTGCCTGTTCCAGCCGACGTTAAGCCTAGTGCGCACCACCGCAGTTGCAGCCTCCCTCCGTCAGCGAACGCTTGAACTCGCCATGGTAGGTGTCGACCCCCTCAGTGCGGACATCGGCACCGAGCGGGTCACCCAGCCAGCCGAACGATGATGTGTCGACCTGGTGCTCTGACGAGGCCGTGGACCAGTACTCGGACGCCTGCAGCTTATCGGTGATGGGCTGCAAATCAAGATCGAGATACTTGGTGAGGAATGATCCCACATCGATATTCTCGTTGTTTCCCAGGAGAGGCCAGGCATCTTTCGTGGAGGAAGCATAAATGTTCACATCAACAGCTACAGGCGATTGTTAGTGTATCAATCAACGATAAGACAAGGTGGACGCATACCCGAATGTCCATGTGTCGCCCATCCGATCTGAGCTCTTCTGCTCACAATGTCTGCGAACACATATTGGGGAGTGATTGGTGAGTCGGGGTCAAGCACGGCCCAAATCTCCTCCTCGGTGGCATCGGTAATGCCGAGATCCTTCTCCAGCAATTTCCGAACAAACTTCTTCTGTGCAGAGGAGTCGCTTTCATTGGTGAGGAAATCCTGGAGCTTCTTGTTCACGTATTCCGATGAGTGACTAGCGTTAGCTAGCACGCCAGGAAGCCACTTGTAATCCGGATAGGAAGCATGGAGCTGTCGCGCGGCAGCCAGACCGCCGGTCTCGTGGTCGGACGTGCTCACCACCACTCCAGGGGTAGAGTCCTTCTCAAGGAATTCCAAGACGGCCGCGAAAGCCTTGTCATAAGCCAACACCTCGTTGACCTGGGCAGCTGGGTCGTTTCCATGGCCAGCATGGTCGATGCGTGAACCCTCGATCATGAGGAAGAATCCCTTGTCACTGTCAGCAGTAGCCTCGCTGAGAGCCTTAAGCGCTGTGCGGGCCATCTCCTCCAAAGACGGGTACACGTCATTCTGGCTGCGACGGTCGATCTCAAAAGGAATGTCCTTCTCGGCGAACAGACCCAGAAGAGGCAACTTCACGTCTGCGCCTCCGTTCAGAGCATCGAATCCCTTCCGGTCGTTCAAGTAGTGGAATCCATTGGTCTCCGCCAACTCGATAAGGTCACGATCGTCAGCCCGGCAACTTCCTTCGGTCGAGTTGGGCAGGAAGTGGCACCGGCCCCCGCCCATGATGAGATCCACCACCCGGCCCAGAGGATGTTCGCCAATCTCCTGCTCCGCAATGCGATCTTCATACTGCCGAAGGTTGACGTGTGAAGCGAAGCAGGCTGGTGTCGCGTCGGTGATCCGAGTGGTCACCACCAGACCTGTCTTGTAGCCTGCGAGTGCGGCAGCCTCGAGAACTGTCCCACAAGGAGAGTGATCGGGGAGAACAGAGATGGCACCGTTGTAGCTCTTGAAGCCACAGGAGAATGCAGTGGCGCCCGCAGCGGAGTCGGTCACGAGGCTGGAACTCGACCGCGTCCTGGAGGTACCGATAATATGCTGGTCTAGGACGAGAATATCGTCAATCGGAAGCCCTTCGGTGTATTGCTTGTAGTTCCGGGTCATGGTGAGACTGGCCGGGCCCATGCCGTCTGACACCATGAAGATGAGGTTGCGCTTGCCGGTCGGCTTCCCCCCGGGGCCCCACGGGTGCTTGGAGTGATCATTGACTCGGCTGGCCTCGTGCTGATAGACAACAGACAGAACAATAACAGCGACGGTGGCCAGCAAGGCCCATGTGAAAAGACCAACGTCCTTCCAGAATGCCCAACTCCGGCCCTGATTGCGGTTGGTGCGTTCTCCGGTGAGCAGAGCGTCCTCTTCCTCGGCGTTGCGGACGGACGAACGATCGGAGGACGGGCGCGAGGCCAGGAGTGGCTCTTGTCGCGCCATGTTCCTGTGCTGTTGCCTCTAAAAGACAAAAGATAAATGTAGAATTGCGCAGTAGTGACAGTAGATCTGTATATTCAATGGAAATTGAGAAGGAGAGAAAGAAGAGAACAGGAGAGGGAAGAGGGAGACGGAAGTCACAGCTGCAAGAGCAACTCGGGGCAGCTGATAAGCAATCAATGGGCCAGCGTGACCCTGACTTGCTGTTTTGGGAATAGCTTCGTACGGGGGATCGACGTCACCGCCTCACTTTTATAGATTAGGTAAGTGTTATCCATGCGGCAGTCTCAAAGCTCTTTATCCATAATATACATACATTACCACAGAAGAATAAGAAGAAGATAAAGAGTAGAGAAAGAATACAAGCCTCTAGTAGATGTTCTACCCATCGCGTGCTAGTACCCTCTCACACAGGGTCGCACAGGGTACTGTTTTCCCAACCTGGTAATTTACAGCTATCAACCTCCATGTACCCGACCATCCACCATGAAAACCTCACCACAAGGTGATATGCGGTGCACAGTAATCTATCTTCTGACATTCCCCTTCCATCCGATCGGAACCATAGCCGCAGCGATCTCCGACACGCCTCTCTCGGTAGCAAGCAAATTGAACTGAGCCGCCGCATTGCGAGTGTCGGCCACTTCAACCCGCACGCCCAGGGAATTGAGATATTTCTTCGTCTCCGGCGATAGAGGGAAAACATATTCACCCATGCCAAGAATGAGGAGGTCTATTAGGGAGGGAGAACAAAGGACATTAGCGACACGCCTATCAATCTTAATTTCTTTTTTTTTTTTTTTTTTTTTTTCTCTGGCATACAGATGAACAAAAGACGTTATGACTTACCAGGACGAGGCCACACCAAATCTAATACACCCCAGACCTGCTCGTCGAGCTCGAATTGACTCTTCTTGTTGAGCATACCATCCCGGTGACCCCCGGGGGCTGCCTGCCACGGACGCCACGGGAACGCCTCTCCGCCCACGAGCATGACGCCGTCGCCACCAGTGATCTTCACCCCGTTGTTGAGGTGGAACCCGGTGTCCAGAGTGGCATCGACAGCCGTGGTCGGCGCGGGGATGTTGCCGAGGACATTGAGGGCGGCGAAGTCCGTCTGCGTGTCTTCCGTCGACTGAGGGCCGCGGTCGTGAGTCGAGGGCTTTGCGCTGTGGGCGCGAGGAATCATGCGGGTAGGGCGGGCATTGCTGCTGTTGTACCGCAGAGATGGGACCGAGAGGCCAAGTCGAGAGAGAGGCGAGCGAGAGCGGGATGTGAGCTGGGCACAGAAATTGACGCTGCGGTCGGCGAAGATAGAAGTGCGCAAGGCGCGCAGAAGCTGGGGTGATGGGCTGTGCATAGTGGTGGAGCTTCTGCTAAGACTCGCGGTGGGTGATGGTGAACCAGGGCTGTAAGTATTCGTGGCGCGATCTATCTTAAAGGATCAATCCCAAAGCACAAAATTTGGTCAACTGGCTTTTGGGGATAGTCGGGGAGTTCACAGGTCAGGACCGATAATGATGTTAACACAAAATACTGAAGCCGGTCTTTGAGCTCCGGTCTATTGAAACCTCCCCCGGCGTTGAAACGCCGCGCGGGCGCATAACTACCTTAACTATCTTTGGCAGGCGGTGGCCGCATCACCGATGATCCACGACTTCAATACGAGCCAATGGGCCGGCGGCCAATAGTAAGTTAACCTACCCCAGAACTGCTATGCACAAATACTCCAGACCCGTGACGCTTTATCTACCTAATTCCCGTACCACTGGTCGATCTACTCCGTAGCTTTGATGCGATCCTGAAAAACTCTTTTGTTTTAAGTACTATGTTGGCAACGTGCAACACATGAAGGAGTCAGCTAAATGCAGTTCGTCTAGCACGTTTCATTCACGGTTCCAAGCCCGTGACCTCATGCCGAACTAGGGGGCCAACTCGACGTCTCCCATGAGATGACAATGAAAGCAATGCCATACAAGTGGAAAATCGATAAGACGCCTCTGTATTTAAACGATTGTGTGGGACTGTATAACAAGTCGCTGGCCTCAAATCTGAATTACCAGAGTCTCGCGCATATTTCACGACAGTTGGTATAAGTGGAATGCGAGACAAGGACGAACGATGCCACCCGTAGTATTGACGCCGTACCATCTACAAAATGATTCAAGGCCCTCATCTTCGGCTTTCTTCCGTAGGCTTGTGTGTAGATTGACCCTGACTTGGTCGGCCTGCCGCGTCATGAGCGTTAGTGTTCCGATCCTCGTCAGACTGACTGGAGCTATCATCGCCAACAGCGCCCGACGTTGATGCACTACGCAAGCGTTGGGCGCGATCTTGTAGCACTTGAGCTTCGGCTGCGGCCCTCTGAGCCCGAATCTGCTTGCGCCACATGCTTGCGTAGCGGCCCTTCATAGCCAGCAGTTGATCGTGTGTGCCACGCTCAATAACCCGTCCTTCATGCAGAACTAGGATTTGGTCTGCCGTTGTAATCGTGCTCAGCCGATGAGCAATGACAAGCATGGTCCGACCGCGAGAAAGGCTAGCAAGCGCCCCTTGGATGTGCTCCTCCGTCTCGGTATCGAGAGCGGCGGTCGCCTCATCCAGAAGAATAATCCGCGGATTCTTGAGGATAGTGCGAGCAATGGCCACCCGTTGCTTCTCTCCTCCACTCAACCGTAGGCCACGCTCGCCGACTTTAGTGTTATATCCGTCCGGGAAGGACAGGATCTTGTCGTGGATGCTAGCCGCTCTACACGCTTCATATACCTCCTCGTCCGTAGCGTTCTGGTTAGCATATTTCAGGTTGTACATCAGTGTCTCATTGAAGAGGACAGTGTCCTGGGGCACAACGCCCATGTGCCGCCGAAGAGAGTCGATTGTTATACTTTCAACGTCGTGACCATCAACGCACATGCGACCGCGTTCAGCGTTGTAAAAGCGGAAAAGTAGTCGGAAGACTGTGGACTTCCCTCCGCCAGACTCACCCACCAAAGCCGTCGTGGTGCCTGGTTCACAGTGGAATGTGAGGCCATTCAGAGCCGGCTTCCGTGTGTCATACGAGAACTCAACATTCTCAAATGTGATCCGGCCGCTGCACACAGACAGAGGCCTTGCGCTGGGGCGGTCTACAACGGTAGGTTGTTCCCGGAAAAGCTCCAGCATTCGCTCTGAGTTGATAAGGGCGGACTGGATGGAACGGTAAAAGGTTCCAAAGAAATTGAGAGGCCCTTGCAACTGTGCCATGTACGTGAGCAATGACACAAACTGACCTACATCTCGCTGCCCCATGGACACCTGATATGCAGCGATAAAACAGGCAATGAGCAAGCCCAACATGAAGACAGTGTTCTGCGACGTGTTCATCAGATTGAGAGAAAAGAGAACATGATACTCGGCTCTTTGATAGTCTGACACGGCTTGGCGGTATCTGCCGAACTCATAGTCTTCTGCATTGAAGTATTTGACGGTTTCATAAGAGACCATCGAGTCATTCCTGTTGTATTATCGTCAGCTTCCGAAAACAGTGAGACTTTGGCTCAAGCTAGCCCTTACTTGACGGCATCCTCCTGTCTGGACTTATTAACCATTTCCCTTCGAATCTCCGCCCTCCACTGTGCCAAGCGCACTGTGACGTAAAGGTAGCAGAAAGTGATTATGGTGACCACGAGGGCGTAGTATGCATCGAAGAAAATCAGGAAGAAGACAATGGCCACGCAAAGATCGACCAGCATAGGGACAACTTGGAAGGTGACCTGCTCGAGGAATGTGTTGATCGAACTACCTTTGCTCAGCGCAGATAGCACCTCACCCGTCTTCTTTCCCAAGTGGAAATCGAGACTAAGGCCATGCACGTGTTCGAAAGCCGCGGTCGACAGCTCCATGTACGAGTATTGGCTCACAGGAATCCACAGATTTGAGCGCAGGGATCCGATTAGTCCCTGGTTGCCCTGCAACCATCGGTAGAGAATATACAAGCAGATCTCGAACCACGGAATCCTAAACTCGCCATCCTCTCTAGAGAGAATGTTCGTGATGACACCCACCTGATATGGGACAAGAACATTGACAATGCGCTGCAAAACGATTAAGACGAAACAAATGACCACCACAATCTGCAAACGGCGAGACTTGGACGGCCAGAGGTATGGAAAGAATAGGGAGTATCCACTCAAGTATTCCCACCAGCTTGTAGAAGGGACAGTGGTCGGGCGTACCCATGGATCGGTAGGCTTCGAGGGTTGAGCATGCCCATTCGTCGCACCATGGCCGTTTGTCGCACCATAGCCATCCCCATTCTCTACATTGTGGGCATCGAGTAGGCCCGTAGTCTCGGTAGAGCCGTTCGCATGGCTTCTTTCCCTCTTGGGATTGACGTTTATCGAATTCGCGATATAAGTCAGGACCATAGTGGCAAGGATGAGCACTCGGAAGCAATTGAAGACGACCCCTGTCACTTCCCATGGAGTTATCCCATGTCGGAGACGACCACCAATAGGATCTCCAACCACTGGTTCTCGATGGGGACCAGTGTAGATAGAGAGGGATGTGCCAAGAACACCGATTTCGATCGGGATTGCTATGAGCCATGGGACGAATTGAGCAAATGTCGGAGACGGATTCGTGTCCAACAGCGAGACGAGGATAATGGCATAGTCGAAGAATGACCCCACGACATATATCTATGGCGAATTAGAAGCTGGTTCGCAGGGCGGACAACACATGCGATTACAAAGGGAGCTCCACAGGATCAAAGCAGCGAACTTACCACAACGGACTGGCCGCACCACCAATGCTCCGATCTAGCGATGATGACATGCGACACATTCAGCGCGCCTTCTGCGACAATGGTCAACAGAATTCCTACTGAAGACCATTTGAAGAGCAGCTTCGCGTTTTCAGAAAATCGTTGAGATTTAAGTACGGTCATAGTGCTCCTTGACCGCTTGGGAAGCGGTCTCCCCCCCGGTCCGGTCTGCGCATTTTTGCTGTTGCGATTCACGTTCTTGGCTGCCAGGATAGAATTGGCAACAAACGAGGCGATGAAGACGAGGAGAAGGAGAATTGGAGATCCAGTACGAAGGTACCCCAGGAGTTCCCGGGTTGCATGATGAGTATCCATGGTGTGATGGATGTCCACTCAGTTACCGAGAGTTTTCTTTGGGAGTCTCAAGGTATTATTTCCATGACACTGCGACCGCGACCTTCTCTCCAGGGCGATGAATATAGATGACAGGCGGTCAGAGCTCGGAGGGCGGGCAAGTACTCGAGGTTCGTGGCGAATTGTGATCGGGGATTCGTCGAACGAAGGAAACCGGGAGTTGAACGAGAGCCGGCGGACACGTGGGAAGTAGTAAGGTTATGTCTGTCTTGTAATGTTCTATTAAATTTTAAAAGCAAAGGAATTCTTGACGCAAAAAGACAGGAAGAAGCGCAGATATGAGAATTGAAAGGGAAGAATTTTTTAGAAGGAAAAAAGGCGTGAAAGGTTTAGAAACTTAAAATGAGGAAAAAAAAGGGACTGTAATAGATACAGGAGAAGAAGAATACAGGTTGATTAAGCAAAGACTATAAAGAAGAGTAAAGGTTGGCAACGTGAGGTGTATGTTGCACCAATAGCTCTGATCATGCAAGAAACAAATTAGAAGAAGAGGAGGGGAGGGAGGGAAGGGAAGGGGAGGAGGGAAAAAAGGACAGGATAGACCAGAGGCACACGAGAGGAAAGGATCGTTGGATACAAATAGCAGCTTGACGAGAGGAAGATGGAATGACGGTGTGGATGCGGAAGAAGTCGAGAACCAGAACTGCACTAGCTTGGGTTTCTAAAGCTAGTTCCGTATTAAGCTTGGTTGGATCCGGAAGGCGAGGGGAAGGAAAATGATAATAATATCCAGCATTATTATTATTGTGATTATGTTTCCTTGGAGCGAAAAATAGAAAATTCGAAAAGGAAAAAAGAAGAAGAAAAAAACCAAAAAAAAGAAAGGCAAAACAACAGCAGAACAACGAGGGAAAGAAAGCAAAGAAGAACAGAAGGAATATCCGCCCTACGTACCTCGCTCCAACGGTCGTTTTCATTATTCCCGGCTGATCAGATGCAGGCAGCATCGGAGGTTTTCTTTCTCACCTGCGTTCTCTCTGTCTCTCTTAATACCTTTTCCTCCCACCATCCCCTCCTATGCGCAATTTAATGGTACGAGTCAAATTAAAATAGAAAGGGTGGGTGAGGGCCTACTCAATCAGAAAGGATAGATCATGGTCTGGAATGATCAAACTACAGGGTAGTACGTATTCCGTTTGTCTCTCCAGGATGTACCAGCAGTTGTAAACACCCGTCTGGTCGAATCCCGTGGAGGTGTAGAGATGTAGAGGTGTATTGAGGTGCATCATGCCCAATGAGAACAGGGGTTGGAATGAAGGTTCCCGTGTGTTGAAGGAAAAAAATCCACTCAAGGAGAGGGACAATAATCCCCAAGCACTACTCCATCGATTCAAGAAGAATGAGACAGCTAGTGGCGGATGAGGGGAGGAGGTAGGTTGGTAGGTTGGTAGGTTGGTAAGTCGGTAAGTACTCAGTAGAATAGATGGCACAAGTGCAAGTAACCGCCAACTTGATACATAAAAGACACCATGAGGCACACGCATGAGCTCCGCCGATGGCGACAAGCGAGAAGCAACTGGAGGGGGTCACTTGTAGGGGTATGTCATGACAGATCTCGATGGAGGAGGGCTTTGCGCAGATCGATGCGAGAAGGTAACAATGGAACGAGGACGAGGAGGACGAATGATGGAAGGCCTGAGCTGCCGCAGCAATTAACCGCTCGGGGATTCCCTGGAAAACTGGGTGCTGGGATGAAAGAGAAGTTCTCTGAGTGGTCTTTGACCCCGGTTGGAGCAAAGACACATCACGGCCCAGATGCCGGTCCATCAACTTTGACCCCTCCTCCTGCTGGTGCTGGTGCTGCTGAAAGATAAAGACCATGGCGCTCACAGGATGAAATACGGGCGGGATTGTCGATGGATCAAGGTCTTTCGAATGCAGGTGTTTTCGATGGAAGGATGCGTCGGTGGCTGGCAGGTTTTCAGGGACATCTATCGGTATGGATTAGTCTGGCTAAAATCAGATACTTAGATGAATACCATGTATACGAGTACAATGGTGAACGGCTATCAGAGTCCACTTTTGAGGTTAAATATATAAATTCATCTATTGATGCCGTTGTACCACTCATCCCATACATCGACGAGATGGACAGAAATGATAGAGGCAGTGCAGAAAAAAAAAAAAAAAACCCCCCTTCCATTCAAGCTACCAAAATAACCACGCATCAGCCGACTATAACCAAAGAGCAAGCGTCTCTGATGGTGCAGGGAGAAGGTGTTCTTCATCCGCGACAATTATGTGCATCCCTCACGATTTCGACGAGTCATTCGGTAACCGCCCCAGACTAGTTCCATTTTAGCTTGTCCCACCTTGAAGTCCCGAATGTCCGGATGATCTAAAACAACGCCTGGAATGTACAGCACCGGTCCATTGGAAAAGTGAGACAATGACATGGCCACCCAACAGCTTAATCTCGGATTTCCTGTCTCAACTTCCGCACCGCTCAACATGCATGGGAAGAGTCTGCCGATAGGCGGCGGTCGATTTAAGCACCTCCCTAGGGAAAAAAGTGAGAGGGTAAGACAACCATGATCATCATAGGCGGGTGTCGTAATTATGCTTGCAGGCTGGACAGGAACAATTCTTGATCCGATCGAACCCCATCGACTTGTGACTGCATACCGCCCTGAACCTGCATGCATCCCTTGTCTGCATCCATCCACACTACTCCGTACTATACAGAGAATGTTTTTTCCGCAACCAAGTCCCTCTTCCCTCCAAATATTTCTTTCCCGGCTTTCCTCTCGTTCTCAAGTGGCTGGATGGCCAATCGGAAGAGAGTTCTTGTTTGAGCTATCGTTCTGAAGGTTACATAAGCTAGTTTCAGTAAAATTGCTCCCATTATAGGCAGCAGGGTAGGTAGAGTTCTGGGTCAGATCGGGCGAAGGAATAAATTCGATGATACGGATACTGAAAGCTATAGATCAGTTTCCAGCCTGCAGAAAGGTAAGCAAACATAGCAAACTGATCGTACCGAGTTCCCTTCCGTACAGTTCCCAAGAACACCAAAATCAACAACAACCGAGCTAGCCCAGCTTATTGTAAGTCACATAGCTGCCCACCCCCATGACCATGTATATTGTACCGACCTCAACCTGCGCTACCTTTCGGGTAACTATCTTATTGCCACTGGTTACATAATAGCTCGCCCCCATCTTGGAGCTTCGGCTCTAAACCAATTCAGGTATCTCAATTCAGGTATCAAGCCGTGTCATCATCCATTGAACCGGCAGAATTCCATCCAAGGCGGTTTGTTGCTCCATTATTGCACTGTCCGCCTCACATTCCTGCACTACTACTACAATTACTTATTGCTGGTCCTCGACAGTATCACCTCAATATCCAATCACACTCATGATTTACCTTTGCTTCACAACATCCACCTTCATCTTGTTTCCTGGGTTGAAATCATAGTTCCGGGAATCAGCTGCCCCCCCTTCTCATCTTCCGCCTCCCCCTTTCGTTCTCCTTTGGCTTTCCCTTTCCAGGTTCCTTTCCCTTCCTATTCCCCACCTCTCTTCTGTGCATCACTCTTGTTTGTTCGTCCGGGGAAAAACCTTCACAGCCATGGAGCTCCAAACCTCATCCGATTAAGTCATGCATGACTGATCTCTGAGAGAGTCTCTGACCCTGGAAATCATGGCCGACTTCTCTCGATTGCCCCCCCGAGGCAACAACATCTCCCCAGCGCCGCCGCCTCCCCCACCTCCAGCTCCCGTGCAACAAAGTCACAAGTATTCCAACCGCGCGGCCAGTGCTTTGGCAAGATTTGCCCAGCCTTTTTTCTCCGGGTCTCGACCTCCCAGTCCGCATACGCAAAGTGGTCGTGCAGATCTATCTGCTGGTCCCCGTTCCACTAGGTCCAAGTCCTTGTATAGCTCTCCACTCCACTCTTTCCCCGCCCTTCCGACATACTGATTTCTCTCCCTCGCTCGTCTCTTGCCCTACTTCCCCCTTGCTTCTCTTTGTCCCGTTAGTGCTTTGGCTCTACCTAGTTATTTGGTTCTGATGACCGCGGTGACAGAAGCTCCAAGCACCTTGAAATGTGAGAAGTGAATGAATCTGACATCTTCCTTAGACCTGGTGCTTCTCAGACGATCTCTCATAAAACTGGGATTCCTATAGCTGCTCTAGATATATCTCCCCAGCGGACACATGCAGTTATCGGCGGCAAAGAGATTTTGAAAACGATCCGTGTCTCGCCTGATCACTCGTCCGAGGAATTCAATCTTCGCAGTGCAATTATTAGCTATTCTTCTACTCACCATGTCGGGAGTGGGCTTTCCGCTCGGCACAAAGACCAGCTGACGGTCAGAGATGTGAAATGGTCACATGGTGAGCATGACCAAATTATCGCCACCGCGGTGGCCAATGGGCGCATTGTTGTCTACGATCTGTATCGGACTGGCTTAGAATGCTGCCGGTTTCAGGGCCATAGCCGTCAAGTTCACCGTCTAGCCTTCAACCCATACCATTCATCATGGCTGTTGTCTGGAAGCCAGGACTCTTCGATCCGCATGTGGGATTTGCGGGCAGCATCGGCAGAACGGGGTGTCTTAGTATGTGGAAGCACGGAATTATTCAACGGTAACAGTGATGCCATCCGTGATATAAGATGGTCGCCGACCGACCGAGTCCTGTTTGCAACAGCCACAGATAGTGGAGCTATACAACTGTGGGATTGCCGCAAGACCAGTGCACCGTTGATGCGGATTACTGCTCATGATCGCCCCTGTTATTCGGTAGACTGGCATCCTGATGGAAAGCATCTCGTCAGCGGAGGCACAGACAGGCAAGTGAAGGTTTGGGATTTTTCCACATCAGCAGAAAGAAGACAGAAGCCGGCCTTTCAGTTTCGGACCCCTCAGGCTGTTCTCAATGTGCGCTGGCGGCCCCCATCATGGGCGAGGGAGCCGGAGGGTGCAGGTGATTGGCAGTCGTCGCAGGTAGTGACATCCTACGACAAGGAGGACCCCCGAGTTCATCTCTGGGATCTTCGCCGGCCCCATATTCCCTTCCGCGAGTTTGATCGTTACGACGCTCACGCCACCGATCTGCTTTGGCATTCGAAGGATCTGTTATGGACGGTGGGCGAAGCTGGCGCTTTTACCCAGACAGATGTTCGATATGCCCCTCAAGTGGTCAATCAACGGTCGACCTGTGCTGTTGCTTGGAGCCCAAGCGGAGAAGTGCTCGCCTTTGTCCAAAAGCGTCCTCGACGAAGTGCTCTAGGACCCAGCACGGCTGAGGCTGTAGGCCCTCGACAGGACGAGAGCAGCAGTGGGGAAGTCTTGAGTCAGAGCCCTGTGGACGATTCCCTTGATGACGCCCCGCTCACCTCGACGCGGCATCGATACAGTAAGTCAAGTAGTATTCGACCGTCTAAGTCCTTAGGCAGTACTCCCCCGAGTGCATCGGAGCTTGTTCCTATTCTCCCTCTAGAAAGGTTATTGTCCCAGCTCAAAACCCCAGAGATACGTCAGCTTGGGGTGGTCGGAGGGATCCCGGGAGCCACACTGGATCAGGATACATACCAGTATCTAGCTTCGCACTATCATCCTTTGCTCAATGAGCCTGATGTTCTTCCCAAGAATTCTATACATTCTCTGCTTGAATCACTTGGCCACAATGCCCAGTGCTCCGAAGACATATCTTTATTCAAGCTTGCTCAGACCTGGCGGGTCATCCAGTACGCTGTCATTCAGGAGCTTGAACTTAGGGCGAAGCAGCAGTCCCCCTCGGTCGATAAGGGACTTCGGGTCATAAAGAAACGATCGTCCAAAGAAGGGCCGGTTGCGGAAAAGCAGCGGACAATGGAAGACGGTCGGCAGGGCAAATTCAAGAACAAGCTGATCAAGAGCGTCATTGTGAGCGATACATCAAAGCATACTCTCACCGATACGGAGGGTGCTTCGACTATGACCACCCCGCTTGCGCAGCCCCTACCTGATTCCCCACTCGGGTCTCTGGATAGTTCAATATCGCACATGACATCCTTGAATGATACCACAGATATTCAGCCGCTTCCTGCCTCAGTCCTGAGTCCAAATATCGGGACAATGTCCTCAAACGATTGGTCTTCGGTATCGGACGTTGATCCACGGCCAATCCGCGATTTCCACGAGAGCCGAGAGCAAGCAAATGAAGGAGCCCATTTTGCGCCTGAAAGTTTACCACCTGATTTTTTGCGCCCTTCTGTAGCCCATGATTTGGCAGATGACCAGCGATCTGCGCCACGAGCCATAACTGGCAGGACAGACTGGCATATCAGGAAACCTGCGGGTATCTCAAAGGACCCCTCTGAAGTGGATGATTATGATTTGAAGATGGAGGACAAAAGAGCGGCAATCCGTGATTACAGGCTTCATCCAAAGAAAGTACTGACCTTGGAATCTCGGATGGAACCTGCCAAGCCCCCAACATTTCATCGCCAAGAGTCATCAGAAAGCTTCCCAATGTTCTCCGCATCAACAGAAAGCTCGCATCCTTCTAAGTACATGGGCACGTCTCTTACGTCTGCTGCAAGGCTTCATGATCCAGCGGGGACCGAGAGCCGAGGCGAGCAGGTGGAAATACCCATTTCGAGCAGTAACAGAACCAGGAGTAGAGGAGCATCCATTCTAAATCCTGACCTTGCGCATGAGACAGAAATGCTCAATAGCGAGTCGTTCGAGGAAGAGCTTCCAGGCTCTGATACTATTCATCTTGACCGGCCGTCTAGCCCCCCTCCGCTCCTCAAGGACAGCCAACCATTGGAGTCTCGTACTTTCGAGGTAAGGTCTCAAACATTGCCCAATGAGTGGAGTGCTCAGAGCACCTATGGAGTGTTGAAACAATTTTCGGATGTCAATATTCCAATCACTCCAGACACAACCACTAACAAGCCCTGGAGTGTTGAGCTACTGTTTAAGGAGGCGATCAGACATTATCATAGTGGCGCTGTTGTTGATATCCAGTCTGCTGCTCACCTGCTCCTAAAGTTGCGCGCTCTTTTTCAGGACTGCGACAAGATCCTTCCCAGCGAAGAGACTGAATTCATTCTCAAAGCCTACAACGAACAATTACTACGTCAGTTAATGTACATAGAGGCGGCCGAGCTCCGGCTCCTCTGCGTGCCGTCTTACCCAGCAGTGTACGAATATGCCCAGGCGGACACATACATGAACGTGTTCTGTTTCTCGTGCAAACGGCCATATGAGAACCCAAAAAGTGACAATGGGCGATGCTATCGCTGCAACACCCCACAGGATCCGTGTGCTATCTGTATGAGTATTGATCCTCCTCCAGAATGGGTCGCGGAGCTATCAATGTCCTCGGATCACCCTGATCTTGGATCAGGATCATCATGTACCTTGTCCGCTTCGCATTTCTCCTTGGAAACAGAATCTATACCTCAATACGAGTTACAGCAAATGGACGCTGTGTTCTCCGAAAATTCTCAGCCGCGTCGGCCCAGAGGAGCCACTCTCTGGACGTGGTGTCAAGGCTGTGGCCACGGAGGACATTTAGCTTGCATCAGTACCTGGCTGAGTGATGTATCCATCAGCGAGGGTGGCTGCGCGACCCCTGGGTGTATGCATGACTGTGGTCCAGGGCCCCGCCGTGAACACAACCGGTTTGTCTTGCTAGAGGAATCCAAGAAACGAGATTCCGCCGGTCGCAAAGCAGGTGCAGGCTTTGTCAAACGAGATACGTGGGCTAAGGGGGAAAGCAGGGCCGTGGAGAAAGTGCGTGGTATGTTGGGGGTTGGTGCTTCAGCTGGAAGCGCTTCGACCACAGCTACCACCAGCGCTGGGCCCAGTGGAGCCTCCTCTACCACGATGTCTCCTAAAAAGGTGCGACTAGTGACACCTAGTGAACAAGGGAAGCCGCGGCGAAGTGGCCATCGGACAAGCTTTGGTGGCAGCGGCAGTGGGCTGAGCAATTGATACTGAATCTATCCATAGTAGCGACTGACGCGATTAATCGGCAGAGGGCTGAGCCAATCCGTCCTTCTTTCCATGTTTCTGTCTGTCGTCTCATCTTGTAAGGTGGGACTTTAGCACCCAGCCTCGATATGCCAGGGAACAGAAGTCCCAACGGGTCGATAATGATGACTGTACATAATATAATACGCCCACAGTGTAGTAGTAATGTGGATGACCCAATGTGGTCTTCCTGTCATTGCCCTATCCAAGATACAACTTCTTATTAACCAGGACAAAACTGTGTCCTGTGATTTCAGCATATGTTAGTAGTCCCCGGAAAGCCAACTTCAAAATCTTCGTTTCTTCTTCGCTGGAGCTTTGGCCTTCGCCTCAAGTTGTCGTTTCAATTCATCCCGCTTCCTGTCGGCCCGCTGCTGTTCACTCTCTTTCTTTTGTTCCGCGGGTGGAGTCAATTTAGGCTTTTGTTCCTGAGCTACGGAACGGGCTGCTCGCGGGGGTGCTAGTTCTGTAGTGGCTCCTTCGGATGCATCATCCGAGTTTTCGGATTTGGCAGATGACGCAGCATCTGTTGGTGGCTGAGATTCCGCAGTGCGCTTAGTGGAGCGTGCGACACCTCCGATTACCCCCAACCGGCCGGTCTGTTTGGGCGGGGCCTGGGTCCCTGACTTAGATGGCTGGTCTGATGTTGGTTGAAAGGGTTGCCGATTTGAAGATGATGGCAGAGATGGTTGGTGCTCTTTCTTCTTGCCGCCTATGACCCCAAGGCCGCGCTTGACTGGTGCTGGTGCTGGTGCCTTCAGTTTCGATGGTGGAGGCGGGGCAAGGTCATCATCTCCGTCCGTCTCAGAGGCGGTTGCGTCGCTATCTGTCACTCTGGGGGGAGGTACTGGTGGCTTAGCTCTCCGTTCTGGGATGTCAACCTCCGAAGTAGAAGAGGGCGGTGTCTTCTCGTTCGACTGTGGTCTCTTCCTGCCTCCGATTACACCAAGGCCACCACCTTTAAAAGGCCTCTGTACTGCTGGATGCTCTGACCTTGACGGGGATCTCATCTCGTGTCGTTTTGAGCTTGGCTCTGCACCAGGGCTTGGACTTAACGCTTTGGCTGTGGTGCGTCTCAGATGCGGCGGTGTCTCTTGTCGCTAAGGCGAGAAAAGATAGTGAACGCTGAACTGCCTAGAAAAGCCGAGTGGATCGTAAGAACATACCTCAAATTCGTCGTCGTCGTCGTCATCCTCATTTCCACTGTCAGTGTCAGTCTCAAGACTACCATCGAACGGGCGCTTGTCTACGGCAGGCTTCCGGGGCTCATTGTCGGAACACGAGTCCACGACCGCAGTTGAGAGCTGCTTCCACCATCCGTCTGCTGGTGCAGTGAGGATTCGCAGTCTGTCGGCATCACTGACCCTGGAGCCGGTGGCTTCAGTGGCAAAATTGGCCGCGGAGCTGAGCTCGGGAAAGGATATATTGGTCTCGCGAATCCAGGAGTCCTTGTCGAATGGCTCGACCCCTTTGATGTATTTGGCAGTATGCGACAGCATTGTGTCTTTCTGTCCCGGACGATGAACGGAGACGCCAGGAAAGATGGTGCCAATGTCGATACCCAGGGCTTCGAGCTTGTCGAATAGCTTCCCTAGGACCCAGTCTTTCTTCATGAGCTGGTCGATCAGAACCTTTTCCCGTGATTGCCAGACGGCTTCAGCTTTCACCAGCGGCAAGAGCAGCTGGTCAGTGGCCGCTGAATGAGGGTCCTGGGATAAGCAGAACCTCCATCGGAGAGGTTGGAGCGGAGCCGGGAGCTTTGTTGTTGTGAGCAGGTGTAGGTTCGCACCCTCTGAGCCCCGGCTGAGCGCAGCACTATGCCCAGAAGAATCATGATGCAGCGCCTCTTCTATCTTCTGTAGGAGCACTGTGAACTGGTCATCATCCTCACTGGGGTCGATGGTGGTGCCGTCTTCATCTGCTCGTCGCAGTATAGATTTGCGATCCAAATGTTCAGACCATATGTATGTAAGATCGGTGATATACAGCCCATATCCATCCCCAGTGAAGGTAAATTGACACAAGAGAGTGGGGACACTGCCAGAGAATGAGACATGCAGTCTCTGCCATTTCGAAGGCATTTTGACCTCAACTGGTTGGGTTTGTTTTAGAAGGGTAGGTTGAGAAGTAAGAGCCGCGATTTAAGGCATCAGCAGCGGGTTGGTAGGCGATAGACTAGATGCACGTGCTGATAGAGAAGGTTTGCCGCGGCGATCGATTGACCTTCCTGGTGCGGGAACCTGTCAACCCGATCTCTTGAGTCTGGACTGTCCGATAACAGTGCAACTTGGAAAGCCTGCTCCTCATTTGACAACCACTGAATAACTCTGTTCGTTCTTCTTCTTCTTTTCTCTTTTACCATTGTATACACACGAGAGATCCGGTGATTCTTAAATCCCCCGACAGAATGTCGTCGCGATTCCCCGAGCGAGCAAGCTCGAAGCGAAGCCGTTCTCGCTCCCCGTCGCGTCATCCTCAGAAGCACCCACGCCGATATGACGAGAGAGACCAGCAATACGACTCCAGCAGGACCTGGAGAGGCGAAGAAAGTCGTCCGTCGCAGTCGCGACCGCGGAATATGAAGGACCAGGTGCGGCTCAATCAACTTCAGGAAGATGAGCAGGTCCGAGAATGGGTGGCGCAGGAGGACATCTTCGTTCTCAAGCAGGCCAAAAAAAAAGCAGAGATCCGGGTGAAGGAAGGCAGAGCCAAGCCAATTGATTGGCTTACTGTTACTCTACGGGTAATCGATCCTACGAGGAACCCTCTCGATGATGAAATCGCCGATTCGGAGCTTGATCTGGTGGACCCCGACGGTGTCTTTGAAGGACTGTCGCCGGCACAGTTGCTGGATCTGGAGAAGGATATTGATACTTTTTTGAGTCTGGAGAAGAACTCGCAGAACAGGGAGTTCTGGAAGGTAGGAGGTCTCCTTTGGCCTTAATGTTGTTCAGATGATGCTAACCACTGTCTCTTCTGACACAGACGATGAAGGTCATCTGTCGAGATCGCCAAAAGATCACCGGGCCGGAAGGTCGTGCGCTCAGCTCCGTGGCTTCCGACATCAATCGGTTGCTGAGTCCTAAGTCCTACGAACAACTTCAGACACTCGAGGTGCAGGTTAGGAGAAAGTTGGATTCGAACGAACCCATCGACACAGACTACTGGGAAGAACTTCTGCGCAGTCTCACTGTTTGGAAAGCTCGCGCCAAGCTGAAGAAAGTGTTCCAAGATGTCATAGATGAGAGAGTTAAAGGGCTGCGCACACAACAGTGCGAGGAGGCCGAATCCGTGCGAGCGAAGCTCGCTCCGCTGGCTCCGTTTATCCGGGCCCCCTCTGGGAGTGACGCTCAACCCGATCATCATGACTTTGAAGGCCTCGATCCGGACCCATTACTTCAGGTTCGCCCAGAGGACAAATTACTGGAGATTGTCGATGAAAGTGCTTTTCTTGGTCAAGTGGTAAGTCAAATTGCACTATACATTATATCAACCCCATGAAAGACTGATGCTTACACTATATAGGCCCGGGATCGACAAAAGATCTTGAAGATGGGATTTGTGCCGCTGCGCCAGCGACATGCGGAGAAGCCTTCGGCTCTTCCTCTGAACCAAGCAACAAACATGCCAGTTTCTAGCGCCTTAACCAGGTTCTCGGCCGTTCCCAACGATGACTTTTCTCAGGCGACAAAAGCCCTCTATGAACGCGAGCTGGCGAAGGGGGTGAGTGAAAACGAGGAGATCTTCACAGGCGAGGAAGCTGTAAGCTCCGGCGCCCAACCTTTGTGGGCAGGCAAGTATCGTCCCCGCAAGCCGCGGTACTTCAACCGCGTTCAGATGGGCTACGAGTGGAACAAATACAACCAAACTCACTATGACCATGACAACCCACCCCCGAAAGTCGTTCAGGGCTACAAGTTCAACATTTTCTACCCAGATCTGATTGACAAGACCAAAGCCCCGACCTACCGCATCGAGCGGGAAAATGGCCGCAAGCGCGGTCAGTCCTTTGCAGAAGCAGGGGAAGAAGATACTTGTCTCATTCGTTTTATGGCCGGTCCACCGTATGAAGACATCGCCTTTCGCATTGTGGATAAGGAGTGGGATTACAGTGCCAAGCGAGAACGCGGTTTCAAGAGTACTTTCGACAAAGTACGTTGCATCCCCCTATTGTCATACAAAGAAAATGAGAACTGACGGTGTCGGCAGGGAATTCTGCAATTACATTTTCAATTTAAGCGGGTGAGTCGAGTCCCTGACTGACGTCTCATACCGCTGCTATACTAACTCGAGTATCCAGATCTACTACCGGAAGTAGAACCAAGGCTATTCTCGGAGTTCCGGCGGTATGGAACGCACAGAAAATCCTAGCGTATGCCAGAGGTCTGGGTTCCACAGGGACGAATTCGTCCGCGTACAGCGAAGAGCCGTTCTCGCTCTTCTGATTGGACTGCAAACTTAATCCATCTGATCACGTATTGATCACGTATTGGACTCTATCCCAGCCAAGTTACGACGTATCATATCCGATCTCAAGCTACTACATGATCCGGCTCGCAGATCGTGGTCTCCACTCATGGGATACCTGGCGATGCTTAATTACACCGCACTCGAGATCTGTGTATACTCGGTCAGAAACGCTCCCGTGCCTGGACTCCTGGCAGCAGAGGCTCCCCCACCCTAGGCAGCGCTGGTGTATATCACGTGCAACGAATCAGCATCGGAGCTGGGGACCTTATGCTTCCCTCGCATGGTTGTTGTGGAATTGAGAATGGTGGTAACACTGATGCGGCTTTTGGGAAACATTGTGTATCGTTCTAGGATTCCAGCTGGACGGGGGAACCGGGAGAAGCAGTGGTGTACCTAGTATCTGCAGGACAAGTCTCTAAAAACGAGGGGTTATCTCCAATTCTGAGAAAAACTCTGCAGCTAATTTTTGTGTACCATTCTATTAGTTAGTGCAATTGTTTTTTTCTCTTGGTTCTGGTTTTTTTTTTTTTTGTTTTTCGCTTTTGGTGGATGGTAGAATGTATCTGCAGGTTTCCGGTATCGCCATTCTCAAAAGTCGTGCATGACCCCGGCCTATTTGGCGCGGTAGGCCACCTAGGGACCGCTATCGCAAGCCTCCTCGGCTCAGATCTAGCCTCCGTTTGGGCATTCGTGATTTCATAGTCTTCGACAGCAAGTGGACTAGAATGCCAGTTCGGTTTCACAATCTGATGGGGGGTGACTCCCGCGGTTGTCAATGCAGCTACATTTTCAACACATGGTAGAACAGGTTGGCTGGTAGACTATTATAACATTCTGATGCCTTCCTGGCTAATGTCCACTGCTTCCCCCTTGGGCTTTGGAAGAGGCGATTCTTGACATCTGGTTCAAGCTCATCCTTGCTTCAAAGGACTAGAGATGTGCAAAGACTGACTGATCGTAAACCTGCAAAAGAAGGAAAAGGGTTAGTAGGAGACAAAATTAGACATACCGAGGGAGAGGCTGATATTGCAGACAGACTTCGAAAAGAAGAAAAAGAAAAGAAGAGGAGAGAAGAGAGCAAAAAGACCAAGCTCGTACTGTACATTATGAGCTGGCATTGTCTTTTGCCTCACAGCTTCAATTGCAAGATCGGGCTCCCTTCCTCTCAGTGGTCACACGTCTTATTTAATTTTTTTTTTCTGATTTATTCGAAGGCCCTTTTGGAGCCAACCCCTCCTAGCCCTCCTTTCCTTTGTTCAGAAAGAACCCTTTATTTTGCAGCAAGCTACTTGAGGGGACTCGAGAAGCAAGGGTGTCGTTGAAGTCTCAATAAATTTATATAATATTTTTATTCCTCTGTGAAGCTACACTTCTTCTCATGTTACTCTGAACTAGTCATTGACCCAGCTCTCATCACAGACTGCGTTCATCCTGGCTGATACTACTAGTACAAACACAAGCACAAGCACATTATGGATCGTTTCTATCCCTCTCCTCCTCTCAGCTCCCACCCGAACTCACTTCCATTCGGCCGGGCTTCTTCTCAGATTGAGCCTGCGAGACAAACAGTGACCCCTCCCTCATCAGTAACAGATGGCGCTCGGTTGATCCCTTCTCACCATGTCTATCCCTGCTCAGCAATCGAGAATTGGACGAGTTCCCATTCCGGCAATTCAGACACGGCGATGTCTCACCACCACCATCATCAACAACAACATCATTATCATAACTCGCCTCTATGGAAGGCTCCGCTATACCGGCCCTCTACTTCACAATCCGACTCTTCATCTGAGGGCGAAGTGTCAAGTCTCTTTCCGACTCACGGCATTGAGTCTTCCGAGTGGTCATCGCCTTCCACCGCGCCCAGTTGCTCGGAGTCCAAACCAGTAAAGCTCGAACCAGGGCGCAGTTATGAAAGCACCAAAAATTTTCTGCTCTGGTCGCGGACGCCAGAGACCCAGCAACCTGGATGCTCGCTTGAATCCGGCACCTATTCCGTACCTTTTCAGATAGCTGCACCGTATCCAACACGGCCAGATACATTTAAAACGGCTTGTCCTACCCCACGGTTGCCACCACCGTCACTGGCTTTTCCAAGCTCCGGTCGTCGTTCGTTCCTACCTGACAAGGTGAAGACCCATGCAAACAGACCAGGGTTTCACCATGAGGAGCCACGACCTAGTCCTGACGACATCGGGGAGGAGGCAAACTCGGAGGCCCCATATTCCTGCCTTATCGAGAAAGCTCTCCTCGAGGCTCCCGATAAGAAGCTTACGCTTCAGGATATCTACAGCTGGTTTGAGAAGCGCACAGCAAAAGGAAAGGATCGTTCTTCCAAAGGCTGGCAGAACAGTGTCCGCCACAACCTCTCGATGAATGCGGTAGGTGATGCTACTTCGCGATACTCCACGATCGCCTGTGCTGTTTGTTTCAGGCCCTTGGTCTTGTCCGATGGCTGACACGGTGCATCTTCCAATAGGGGTTTGAAGCTGTTCGAGAGGAGCAACCCGGTAAGAAGCCCCAGAACTACTGGCGCCTAACGGAAGAAGCCATCAAATATGGCGTCCAGTCCACCACGCGGTACCGAAAGCAAGCGAGTAACAAAAAGACATCGAGCTCAGACCCACCAGCACCCCAGCGCCAGCGGTCAGGGGCGAAAGGAGGGAAAGCTACGAAGATTAAGGCCAAGCTCCGTGGGTGCCCATCAGGCCAAGATGAGCTGCGAAAGGACAACTGTCGGCGTGAGATCACACAACCACCACTAGGAAAAATAGCCTGTAGTCATGGTTATCCGTCCACTACCACAATAACACCACCCGCGACGGCGTCCGTGATATCATCCTTTCATGTGTCAGCGCCCGTGACACGGTTATCTACCGAGTCATTCGACCTGAGCAATGCTGTTGGTTGTGCAGATCACTCCTCATTCTATATAATGACAGGACAGGGATCGGGAACGGAGTGTCTAACAATGGAGAATGGTTATCCGGGATGGGGGGTACACACTTCGTTTTTCTGCCGGGCTGATGACCGGGCCTGGGATTACGGCGGATCTTCACCTAGGGCAATAGGAGGATGGAGTAATTAGATAGCGTCGTTAGCGAATGGCCCATAGAAATTTCGGAATATACTGTACGAACTGTTCATTGAATGGTCTGGCCATGTTTGAACCATGCATTCCTCCCTGTTCAATGCTCTCATAGACAATAGGCTGTTTCTTTCCTACTAGGTATCATGTGTGCCTCCTCACTGCAGGAGCTGATGGGCAACACACAAGTGTGGCGTCCCGGAACTGGTTTGATTACTTTTCACTGGCTGTCTAATCCTTCCTTCCCGATTAAGATATATGGCCAGCTTACCTTAGTATCCGTGATCTTACTCCCTACTACTCAATCCTTTCCCTACTACAGCCTGTCTGCCATACGTGGCTTGGAGAGCATGGTGGCCTGCACGTCATGATAAGATGATTGAAGGCCATTCCGAGTCCATGGCTGTAGCCCGATATGCCATCATTTTCTAATTTCGCATGAGTGATCGAACTCCCATGGCCAGTATCCTGCAACAAAACAACTCAATGTGTCACTTCTTCCAAGACAAATCAGGGATCAGGCAGAGATCGGTGCTCGAATCGAGCCCCCTCCCACCCCCGTTTCTATCATAGCTCACAGCCTGTCCCAAAAAATCTACTGTTGATTACATCCAAATCTGCATGTATGCATGGCGTACACCTCTGAACACTAGGTATTTTTTTTTAGTGACTCTCACCATCTAGATGCTTTCATTTCACTAATCATAATCAGTGAAGCTGGACTAATGCAGTAACTCCCGTGGGCCTTTGTTAGAGCAAAACTTCTGCTTCTCATGTTTCGACCAGTCCTGAGACCACCTTTTTTTTTGCCTATTCAGGAGTGGGGAAGGGCAAGGGGAAGGCAAAGGGAAGAAGAGCAGCTATTCGCATTCTTCTTCATACCCCGTACCTAGTCCCTCTCTGTAGTGTTGAGTGTACCAATTCTTTCCCCTTTCCATCCTCATCTCACTCCAAACTCCTAGGTACCGCTACCTGCCCGTTTTTTGCCGGTTGTCCCCACCACCTCCTACGAACGAGTATGCTCGAGAACTGTTGCTTTCATGGTTTCATGGTCGCCTGCGGGACGAAGACGAGCTATATGAAAGCGTGCGTTAGGTCCAGTACCCGGCTGTCATAGTCCGATCTGGGTTTCACCGGGCGGCTTCCCTGCCTCGCCAATCAACCGGGACAATAATATCCACTTCAGCCTTTTCTTCTTCTAAGAAATTGTCGATGCTCATATAGCTAGCACGGGACGGTACGGCAAGCAGCATCTGGCTTACCGGCTTTCGCCGGACTGGCAGCATCCAATCCCGATTTGACAATGTGTCAAAGATCCGTCCTTCGGTACCTAAGGCACTCACACGCCCAATCTGACACTTCTCACTTCCTTATCCACTTTTCTGAACCAGAATTAGCGTATGAAATATCAAGGATCACTGCCACCAAATGCCATGGTTGGGGGACAACCCGCTCTCCGATCTTTTTACAAGCAAGGCGGAGTGGACTGAAATACTCTGGCTAGGGCAACATCGACTGAGCATCTTCTTTCGTCCTGCTTTTCCAACAAGCCCAAGATCCTTGAAGCTACGGAGGAAGTCAGGACTTCAGAGAGAGCTGTTGAGCTGCGACCCGTATGGAGGGTGCGATGGGCCTACCGCGCTGGAATATAGATGCTACTAACTAAAACTACTGACTAGACTAGCTCTAATGACTCTCGGATAGTGGAGCCATCGTAAGGCCCGATCATTTCGTCTGCGTATTCCACCCTACAACATGGTGGGCAGACGGTGGTATCGGCAACGTTGCCCTTCACAATGGTCCCGACTGGCTAATCAGCAATAGCAAAAAGCGAGAAGGGTTGCCCGTGGCTTGATCGGCCGGATGGTGGAAATATTCCAAGAGTAATCCATGCATGTCTACACCATCCTGCACACACACACACACATCAGGCCTGCTACTGGATTGGATCTCGGCCTTCTTCCTTGTCTCCTGTCTCATCCGAGTGCCGACATGTGGGTAAAAAATGATACTCGTAGTCTATACACCACTTCCCCGAATGTTATGATGGGACTAAAGTACCTTTTACTATCTTTAGGATAGCGCGGTGATATTGGGGTCGCAGACCAACGCTAAGCTGGCCGTAGCCGAACTAGGGCGTTTCGTCTATGCTGGACAGTAAGTTAGTAAATTTAGTCTCAATTCTCGCCTCCTAAATTTAGGCTTAACGATTTAATTTTCTTTCTTTGTAATAGGTTTTGGTTTCTTCTTCTCAAGAGCGCAAGTGCTCCATTAGTACTTTTGCCCTAGCTTCTTGTTACCACACAGCGTACTGATGCTTTGATACTATATCCAGGCTACGAGGGGCCAGACGGGACTTGTTCGAATAGGGAGCGAAAGTATAGGTATTCTTGAAGTTGACAGGCTGGGGAAAAAGCACGTCCTGTAGCTCAAGGTCTTCTTGGCCATTCCCCGCTCTTACTTAATATCTGTAGTTCTTTCCCTCCAGCCACGGGGCGTTGAGTACGCTGACTCAGGGCATTTCATGTCCCGAAGAATTTGACACGAACGATGTGAATGCATCCAACCGCGAACGCTTCGCTCGCGGATGCACGTTTTAGTCTAAAGGTAAAAAATATATGATCAACAGCAGTGGCAAAAGGATTCGGATCACGGGCCCTTTGCCGATCTACCCACTCTTTCTGAATTCTTCTCAATCAGCAAGATTACCTTTCTTGTTATCTGTGAGTTGATGAAATGTGGAGTCCCATATCACAACTCTGATCTCATAAGATTGACGGTTCACCATGACCATGGTGGTGTGAAAAAGATCCGGACGACATCTCAGTCTCCGAGCAAGCTGGGCAGCTCCCACCTTTCGTCATGCTGCTTCAGCTGGATTCATCCTTTGTCATCAGGTCACCTGTCGCCGTTCACTAGGACAGTTCCTCCTCTCATAGATGGATCTGGACAGTGGCACCGTACTTGTGAGAAGATAAGCATGTACTGGTACTTTCAAACTCACTGGCGGCAGCCGGCAAATGGGGTCAGTACAGCAAACTACTACTGTACATCAACTGTACCCCGTTCTAGCTTGGGATGGTTGATTGCCTTCCTCTTCTGCTTCGCTTTGGAGGTTTCTCGGTCCAATCTCCGACATATTGGAGATGCAACGCGTAAGTTTAGTAGTGCCCGCTCCCCTCTTTCTTGCTAAATTAGGGTAAGATTGCTTGTCCATTGCCCATCCCTGATTTCATGCCCTGCCCCACCCCCTCCCTGTTTCCTTTGTCTCCGACCAAAGGAAGCTAACAATAATACAAAGCACTTAGTCGAAGTCACATCGATGGCGTGTATCCAGCTGGTTGGCGGTAAACCGACAATTATTCGCCAGGACAGAATGTCTAGCACTAAGCACCTACCTAGCACCTACCTAGCACCTACCTAGTCAATTCATTCTCTCCTCCCCGAGTCAACATGCTGAGTGTCCGATCCAGTACTAGTCGCAACAGGCTATTGTATCCGACCAATGACCGCTGTGTCTTGGATTTGGCCTGCCGATGCACCCCGACTATCATACAACGATTGCGTCTTCCTTATGGGCACAGAGGGAGGAAAAAGAAATCTGAACCGGGCAGTCTCAAGTTTGACGGAGGATGAACGCTATCAAGTGGCGGTGGGAGATTGGCTTGTGGCCCAGCCTGGTGCTTATCTCCTTCCTTCTTAGATGAAGCTCCGAAGACCTGAGACTGCACCTCCATCAGCTCTTTCACCGCTGGATAGGAAGGTTGCAGAATCTTACAGTATTGCATTGGCGCAAGGTGCGGGAAAGGCATGGATGAGAGCAATGTGCTCAAGTGTCATCCAGGATTTGACTACGGTTATTCAACAAACAAGGGTGTTGACAAGATCGAAGACAAAGACGATACTGACTTCTCAAAATGGGGTTATTGCCAATCATAAGGCCCTGCTGTGCTAGACAGGGGGTACCTATTCCTTTACCTTCGTTTGCGCCGCTTGACGCGCCCATATTTTTGGGCTTGTGCAGCCTCGAAATAGAGGGATGTTCTAGGTCCCTCTCTAGAACAAGATCAGTGACAGTGTCTCGAAAGAGCGCTTGCCCAGGCTGCAGGCTAGCTGACAGCTTCCATCTCGCCTGGTCACTGAATTGGAGAGCGGCTGTGGGCGAGTCCATGATGCAGAGGAACAGCACCACATGAACCTAGACGGAACCCCCGCCTGTCAGTTGCCTGTCAGCTGCAGAACATCCTACCCTAGTGCGCCGACATTTACAAGGGGGGCCGATCCATTGGACAGAAAACGTATCGCTGTGTTTGATGGGAGGGTGCTATGGCTGAGAATCAATTGCGTCAAATAGATGAACTTTGAGCATTAAATGCTGCTGACGGCGAACAAAGGAATCGACACTTGACTTAGCTTATGCCCGATAGATGTGACAGTAGGACCTCGTCAAAGGGAGTTCCTATAATCCCATTCTTCCCAATCGTTGGAGTCAGTTTTCCTAGCCTGTTGCTGTGTTTGCCAAGTGGATGCTAATATGCAGGCAGCGTCAGGGTCAGCCCTCCATGACAGAAAGCGCCAAAAAGAGAACTAGCGTGTCAGGAAAAGCAAAGAAAAAAAAATCAATGAGAAAAGGAATTCCATGTATCACAGAGCATGCCATCTACTCATATCATCTCCAACCAAAGACCTGGGGAAATAGCCGTGGAACCAATCCATGCTTCCTACTTAACTGTGATCGGCCATTGAATATACCTCATATACCTACTACCTACCTACCCTACAGCGATGATCTGAAAGACTCCGCGGAAGTAGGAGGAGGTCGTGGGAGGAATGGTCATAGACGCGCCGCGCTCTGCTACTAATGATTGCAAGGTATGGCTTGTTTTTTTATTTCCTTGCTCCCGAAACAGTCATCCTTGACACTTAACGGAACGGTTCAGTACTTTGTGAATCTGCTCTTTGCCTAGCCCTCGGCCCTTGTTTTGGCGTGTCCTCTCACCCTGCAGGAAAACATGGCCTTGGCTCTCCTTCGTTGGATAGTGACGCAGAGGCTCGCCTATTGCGGCAGGTGTCTATACTATGGAAGCCTGCGGGCATGGAGAAGCCACAAGTATGACATGAATTCCAAGGCACGTTGGAACTGCTGCATTGGGCGGCTTTGCGACAGTTGAACCTTTTTCCATTACAGGAGATCACTCCAACGAGAACGTTGAATCCGGGCGAAGTGAGGACAGGGCCTAGATCTTGTCCTAGCCTTGGAGGCTTGTTGTGGAGGATCAGGTGGGAATACAATCTAGATGCGTACGTACTTCACGCTCCAGACGTGCTTCTTACTCGCAGAGGATTAAACTTCCACATGGCCCGAAAGTCACGGAGGACAGCGCCTTTGGGTGTCGAGCCCGGCTAAGCCGGCAGGGCAGCAGGCAGGGACCCCTCACTACAGACAACACGCGACATAAAAATCATCTCTTGAGATTTGGTAAATAACCATGGACGCGAAGGAAATTTTCAATTCATGAATATAATTCATTGATTCACGGGCCTTTATTCTGCCGCGCTAGCCGTCCGTTCCCAGCTAGAATTTTTAAAAATTTTCCATGTTCCGCTCCTTGATTAAAGACAACAACACAAAAGAAAACCGTCAGGGACGCATTTAGCGCTTGCCGGCAGCCTTCTCCTGGGACTCCTTGAGGACCTTCTTGACGATCTTCTGCTCCTCGATCAGGAAAGCGCGGACGATGCGGTCCTTGACGCAGCCAGCGCAGCGGGAACCACCGTAGGCACGGCTGACGTTCTTCTTGGGACGGGAGATCTGAGCGTACTCGCGGGGGCGGAGGGCGGGAACCTAGAAGTGGTGAGGGCCACGATCAGCTAACTGCGCTTGCTGGGTTTCCTTGCATCTCCTGTCTTCTTCCTCCTAGTCCTGTTTTTATCGAATTGGCGTTGGAAGATTTTTTTTTGAGGTCTGCGAATCTTCTTCCCGGTCGATCGAGCGCGCCCGCGCACACATATTGTCGAGGTTGTCGAGGTTGTCGTGTTTGTCTTATGCCTTCCACCCTCTCGAAACTTCCGCTCGAACAGGAATCACTGGGGTTTACTCACACCAGGGAGCTTGATGCCACAGTCACCGCACTTGGGAGCGGTACCCTTCTTCTTGATGTGAAGGTAACGGAGCTCACCGCCAGGGGTCTTGATGATCCGAACCTGGTTGGACCGCGTGTTGTACCTGTAGACGAAAGAAAATCCATCAATATCCATGTCCGTCAAAAATCGCATGAAAGTCGAAAATCCCCTCTCTCTCCAGCAGATTGATCTCATCGCAGAACACAACTGAGCATATTTGTGATTCGAATCGTAGCGATCGACACAAAAACGCTGGTGGGAGCCAAAAGGATGGGGAACACTGTGAGGGCTGGAAGAGAAATTTCAAACGTACGGGTTCCGGCGGCGCTGCAGAAGAGACGAGAATTAGTATCCTGCTTCGAATTACCGTCCAGATATCGGTTTGACTCACGTATTGCAATCTGTTGTTCGCCATTTTGTCTGTCCGTACCTCGAGGCTGGGGTGGTCAAGAAGTTGGCGGCGGCGTCGTCGGGTTGTCGTCGTTAACCTCGTAGAATTCTCGCAGGTAATCTGGATTTGTGTGGGTTTCGCTCGGAGCCCTGGGCGGCCGCGCTAGCGCAGATTTGGCGAGACTGCGCTAACCCCAATCCGGACTAGTGCCGGCCCGAGCAGAGCCGCCACCTCTTTTCAGACTTGCTTCATCGAAGGCCAGGTGCCAGAAGCCAGAAGTGAGGAGCTTTGCTATCACCCGTGGCGACAAGGGGATCGTCCAGGCGCGGTTTTATCTTACTTTTGTGGTTTGATTACCAATATCTTCATCATCATTACCTTTTGCTTAACGCGTTTGATACTCACGCATCACGACTTGCCTTCCATCCAAACCGATGACCACGCGATAATTCCAGGACCTTTTCTCTCGACGTGATCATTGACGCGACTCGTGTACGAGCACCAATCAACGTCGGATCGGGAAAGAGAGGGGACAGACCTTCACCCATATCCCCCCATTCATCATGGCATCTCTGCCTCCTCCCCCGCCTCCTGGCTGGGGTGCGTCGGCGCCGCCCTCGATGCCTCTGGCTCCGCCACCGCCAGGATATCAACCGCCGGCCGATCCGAATGTCGCAAAGTTCGCCCAGAAGAAGAACGAATGGCTGCGGACGCAACGGAACCGGTTCGGCGAGAAACGGAAGGGCGGATTCGTCGAAACTCAGAAGGCCGATATGCCCCCGGAGCATCTGCGGAAGATTGTCAGAGACATCGGCGACGTATCGCAAAAGAAGTTCAGCAACGAGAAGCGTAGCTATCTGGGTGCGCTCAAGTTCATGCCTCATGCCGTTCTGAAGCTGCTGGAGAACATGCCCATGCCCTGGGAGTCTGCCCGGGAAGTCAAGGTGCTGTATCACGTCAATGGCTGCTTGACCCTGGTGAACGAGTCCCCCCGCGTCATCGAGCCTGTGTTCCACGCCCAATGGGCGACCATGTGGGTGTGTATGCGGAGGGAGAAGAGTGACCGGAGACACTTCAAGAGAATGC